TCATGCATTCATATTCATAAGAAAAATATTTCAAACCTTCTTTTCATGCTATGAGATGAATGCAATCTTCTTTTTATGCTTCACAACTCCAATTAGTCCAATCCATAATTGGACCTGCTTAAAATATTTGCCAACTTTTTTATATCACGTGGAGGTCCCTCCTTACATGCCTCTTTTTCTCTTCTTTCCCACCATTTGAATGGCCACCTCAGATCACTACTTCACTCAAAACAGGGTACTCGCCCCACCAACATCATGTCACCGTTAATTTCATGCACCAAAGGATGTGTCATGATGATCAGTTAGACCAAAGGAACTTTAACAAATGCCATAAGCATACAGAGAATTTTTCTTATTTTTATTTTTAAAGAAATAAAGAATGAACACTTTGATTAAAGGCGCACGGGTGATCCACTCTTAGCATGTGTCAGGCCATTACTTTTTTTTTTTTTTTATAATTATTTTAGGAAGTAGAGAATGAGTCATGTAGAGTTCATTGAGCTTTAGCTTATTCAGTTGTTCCATCTTTTCAGACCACCCTTAAATTATACCATTCTCAACTCGGGCCTTGGAAGTGTTATCTTCAAATTCATCCATTTCATGTTTTGGCCCAACTAAAACTCACGCCTACTCGATAAAAAAGTTAAAATTAAAGTGACCACTCTCGTTTATCCAGTGTCTAAATTTTTTCATAAATATAAGAAAGTTATAATTGTAGAAAATCAGGAAAAGCTACTTCACTAAATACTAATTTGCAAGAAAAAAAATAGAGGTACTATTTAGAAAATGAGTTTTTTTACGTCACCTAGGACTAAAAAATAATTGACGTAAAAAAAATATGATAACATTTTTGTAAACAAAGGATGTGACTTTCACGTCGGATATCGTAGAAACTGACGTAAAAGTTGATTTATATATTGGGTGAGTTTCTAATTGATGTAACAGACAACTTTTATGTCGGTCCCTTTGAGGTCCGAAGTAAAAGTCGTGTTTTAATAATCCTAGGACTTCTTCTTCCTTTCACACGCGAGAGTTTTTAAGTGATGACGAGTGACAAAAATGTTAGGAAATAATGCATATTTTCTATAATCAGATTTATGAAAACAATATAATTGTGAAATAATCACATATAAAATTGATAACGGAGTTCAACAAATTATGACTACATCTTCGGGTTGATGCGAATCTTTTATTTGAAAGAGAAAATTACAAAGCAAGTGTTTACAAAACACTCAACTCACAACCCAAATAAACTCATCTCTTACCTCTCTTTTGTTTTCTTTTTAGAATTACAAAATGACCTTTTATGCAAATGTATTTATACAAAACATGATGTATGTAAACCTCACATTTAAGTTCCTATAATTAAGCATTCTAAAATATCATTAACTTCTATCTTTCTCTTCAAAAAATACGTTTATCCTCCTAAACTATTTGTTGACCAATTCCAACAGAAAACACTTATATTGTGTCCCATTTGGGATGATTAACTCTTTTTTTCAATTGAATTCAAGTTTTAGAATGTTTTTTTATATTTGAGTTTGATGTTCCTTGTCTCCTCTTTTATGTGTAAATTGAATTCGTGATTGTTTCTAGGAATCTCAATCACGTTATTGCTTGAATGTCTCCAATGAATTGTTATTACAATTAAACTGTTGTAGTTTGTGATTATCCGTTTATACGTTTGAGTGTTTGAATCCCATAGTTTAATTGTTTAAATGCTACGTTTTTTGTTGTTTGTATATTATTTTGTGTTTAAATATCTAGGAGTGGCAAAAATTTATAACACAGGTAGATATGAATCAGAATTGGATAAATGCATGTCGTATTAGTGAAGAGTACGAAAATAAAGTTGAGGAATTTTTGAAATTTGTTTGTGAAATTGGAAAACCTATCAAAGGAACATATTATTGTTTATGCGTTCGTTGTTTAAATCAAATTTGTTATGAACTTGGAGATATACGTGATCACTTGTTTGTCTATGATATTGTTAAAATTTATACAATATGAACATGATATAAAAAATATTAGACATATCAACAACAAATTTTGTTGAAGAAGGGATAGATGATAATTTAAAGGATATGATACGTGATATTGGTGGAAAAAAACATATCTATATGATTATTTGAAATCTGATATTGAGCAACAATTGTACACAAGATGCAGTTTTACAAAATTATCAGCATTTTTAAGATTATTCAGTTAAAAAAAAAGGAATGGATGAATTGATAAAAGTTTAATCGAATTATTAGAGTTGTTTTTCGAAGTTAACACATTACCTAATCGTAACTATGAGACAAAAAGAATATTAAGTCCAATAGGTTTAGAGTACAAAAAGATACATGCATGTCCTAATGATTAAATATGGTACAAAAATGTTTTTGCTACATTAAAGATGTGTTCGACATGTCGCTTGTCGTTGTTCAAAAATAAAGTTGATGGAAATAGTGGTGAGGAAGAAATAGATGATTCACCTGCTAAAATGTTATGGTATTTATCAATAATACTTAGGTTTAAAAGATTATTTGTCATAAAAGAATATGCAAGAAACATATATATTGTGTATTTTCTCTTCTTTTTATTCTTATAATTATATGAATGTTTAATTAATTATTATAATTTATTTAGGAGTTTATTCATCGTGGTAAGCATAAGAAACAATCTCTTATTGATGAGGACATCATAAAATTTGAGAATGATCTCATATTTATGTTATTGATCATATTACCACGGTTGAGGAAGAAACTGTATCATATACAATGGAGACTAAAGTGTTTGGAATTGAAAATTCCATTATTTCATTTTTACATTTCTTTGTCCAACGCATTAGAAATTGCTGAAAGAAGTCTGCATGTTAAACATTTTCATCATATAATTGTAGACAATGTAAGTCATTTTTATTTATGTTTCTAAGATTATAATAATTATATTTAACATATATTTTTTTGTATTAGGTACATTGACAAATTGAGTATGGAGTAAGAAAAATCTAAAGTATATGAATTTATTGAGTCTCAATCTATCCAAAAATATAGAAATACAAAGGTCAAAATTTAATAATATATGCAAATATCGATGAGTGACTCACAAAGACATATATATTTGGTTTCATACATTAAAGTATTAGTATTTTAATTTATAATTTTGTCATCATGTTAATTTCATAACTAATTCTTTGTCATATAATATAGTTCTCATTGACGAGTTAATTGTAATCATGCCCAAGAATTACATTATGGTGTGATTTTGTTCATTGCACCGAAAATCGAGTCAAAAAATGAAAAATTTGTTATAAAGATAATTCTATATTTTTATTTTCATTAATTATGTTTTTAAAGTGTAAATATATATTGAATACTATTTGACTTTATTCAACTAGAATCGTATCATGAACTAATGTTCTAAGTGGAAGAAGTGGAACAAAGAATTTGTATTTCATTTATCCTAAAGTTTGAAACTTATTTATATAAATAAACATCATAATTATTGTTTGTACTTAAATTTTGAAAATAATATTATGTTTTGTTTCTTATTTCAGTGTAATAAGCAAACATACTCATTTGAATGTAGCTATTATATCATGTATTGGATGAGACCCATAATTTGTGTGAGTATAACTGATTATTGGATCGGAGATAATTACTTTCAATATTTGTTAAGTTGATTTATCTTTATGCATATTGCATATTAACGAAGTCAAATTAATGTTTCGGGTATTTCAAGATTCATCTCAACTACGAAAACATGATATTACTAAAATTAAAGAACAATAAACAATGTAATTTAGAATTTAGTTAACTTAATTTTTGTATTAGTTTAACTTTTATAGTTTATATTATATTATATTATTGTATTTTTTAATTATTATATCAAGAATCTTAAATTTTTAAACTATTTATCATTAAAATATATTTGGAAGTTTTTGTTATAGGACCAAACAAATTTAATATTAAAAAAAGATAAAATTTATGTTAAATTAGACTATAATAAACATAAAATTTACGTACGCTTTAATCTTACTCAACCTAAATTTCATCCTATTTTTTTATCCCAGTTCTTCGTATAACCAAACATAAACTTACGTCATACATTATAACTGACATAAATTTACCTGAATTAACATGATATAAAAAAAAAAAAAAAAAAAAAAAAACTCATTAACCAGTGTAGAGGATAACGTGTTCTCATGGTAGTCACTATTCATCGGTTGACACAATGATGCTTACATTTTGACTATGAAATAACAGGCTGAAAAATATGCTTGAGAAACCAAATTAGAATAACAGAAGAAAAAAAAAAAAAAAAAACCGTGGCCATATATACTTTGAAATCGTCTCAACGTGTTAGTATATATGCACTACTACTAACTACAAAGTTGATAATCAAACGTGTTTCACGGGGACCAATTGAATCGTTGCAGGTACATGGTCTTCTTCAGGGGTAGCTATTTTTCTAAGAAATTACCAATATTCTAAAGGGTGGTTACGTAGGAACAAAATCTTAAATCAAGAAGGAAAAGCGACCTCTGGCTTGCAATTAGTTACTGGGTCGCTACGGCTATTGTCTATACCTTCTTTGTTCATAGCCCCAACCACTCCAACGCAGTACCTTCTGCATCTTCCCACCCCTAACCCGTTTTGGCTCAGCATCAAAACCTCCCTCACAAACTAAACAATCTCTATTAGGACTTTCATCAATTAATGCAACAAATACTAACCTACCACGTCAAGAATGAAAGACAAAATATAACAAATTAAACTAAATCGTTCTCATTAACGTTGTTTTCAGTTTTAGTCTAGAGGCTTGTAGGATGGTCAATGTATAATGTAAGGTACTAATTAAGGTCACTCTCAATATTTTTTTCCCACACATTGCTTCAACTCTCTCTTATGCTATTCCAACACTTCTTTAAATTCAAGCCTTCTTTCCCACTTCTCTCTCAGAGCACAGAATCTCTTCCACACCAGACACAAAAGGGTGAGAGATTCTAAACCATCATGAAGAACACAAACACCAACACGAAATTCATCCTTCTCCACCCTTACATACAAAAACAAGGAAGCTCCAATCGCTTATGGCTCCTAGCCTTCGTATCAATCCTCACTCTCGCTTTCCTCGTCACCCTCATTTACTCCAGAGAATCCACCTTCATCACCACCGCGACATCTTCTGTGATTGCTTCTTCCAATGCCCCGGTTTCTGGTCTCGGAAGTGCTCCTTTGCCAGCCACAGTGATCAACACTCTCCTCCACTACGCCTCAAAATCAAACGACACCAACCAGATGCCACATTCAGATCTCAAACCCATCTCTGACGTGCTCCGAAAGTGCCCATCCCCATGCAACTTCCTCATCTTCGGTCTCACAGCCGAAACCCTTCTCTGGAAAGCCCTCAACCACAATGGCAGAACCGTGTTCATCGACGAAAACCGCTACTACGCTGCATATTACGAAGAACTGCACCCAGAAATCGACGCCTACGACGTGCAATACACCACCAAAAGAAGCGAGATGAAGGAGCTCATAGCCTCTGCTAAAGAACGGGTAGCCAACGAGTGCAAGCCAGTTCAGAATCTTCTGTTTTCAGACTGCAAACTGGGACTCAACGACCTTCCCAACCACGTGTACGAGGTTGACTGGGATGTCATATTGGTGGACGGACCACGTGGCGACTGGCCCGATGCTCCCGGTAGAATGTCGGCTATCTTCACCGCAGGGGTTCTGGCGAGGAGCAAAAAGGGTGGGAACCCTAAGACTCATGTGTTTGTGCATGACTTCTCTGGGGAAGTGGAAAAGGTTTGCGGGAGTGAGTTTCTGTGCAGTGAGAATTTGTTGGAGGCAAGTGGGAACTTGGGGCATTATGTTGTGGAAAGGATGGATGAGAGTAGTGTTCAGTATTGTAAGAGTCACTCTTCTTCTGGATCAGGGAATGCTTCATCGACATAACTAGTTCTTTCGCCATAATCTGCTCAGAATCATGTTAGTCGCAATTGTTTCCCCATCCCCCTGGGTATTTATCATCCTTTTTCCATTGCTACATTTTGTTTACTTCGTCCTCGCTGGAGCCTGTAAAAATAATTCTTTTTGATTTTTGCCTTCCATTTTATGGCTCTGAAAATTGTATTTCTTCTGTTAATTCAATTCCAAATTTCAATTGAGAATATGCATTAGCAAAAGCAATGTCAATTAGAGAGATTGTGTCACTAGCCAACATATAAAAGAACAAAATTTTAGTGATATTGGAATGATAACAAAAATTATGTCTAGTCTTTAAATTAATATGTTTGTTTGGTTGTATGTGGCGGTTTTATTGGCTTGTATAAAACATTGTCTGATACAATGAAAGACAGGTTATGTTGGGTGGTTTGCAATGCTTTCATAAAGATAATATTTGGAGGATGAGGATGGGTCTAAGTAAATCGAAAGTTGGCTTCTCAACTTTAAAAAATAAACAGCATTAGGTACACTAATTAGCTGTGTGATAGCCACCTTATTACACCTACCTTGCAAGTTTAAGGTCGCTTGTCGTTGGAAGTAAGTTGCTTCAACAAGAAAGGCTAACTTGGGCTCTTGGTTTGCTTAAAAGTCAATTTCATAATTGTATTGGGCCTCTTCGGACAATGGCCACTTGCCTCTAGCCCTGATTTTTTGGTCTCAATTGGAGAAGATACAAGTGGGAGTGGCAGATAATTCCGTATTGTTTCGGCCTAAATGCAAGTAAAAGACGAGAACGCGTCTCAAAGTCACTAAATCTTGGTCACGTTTAGATTATCATATGTGGTCACTAAATCTTCGTCACTAAGTCTGGTTAGATTAGCGTCCAAAATCCACGTTTTTACTATAAGAAAATCTAATTAAAAAGACAAAAAAAAAAGAAAAAAGTGTCGACTAAGATCTATGTCTTTCACGTTACTGTCCTCGGTGGACATCCAAATATGGTAATATTTTGAACATGATTTGTCTTTTAGTATTAATGACCTGCTTTAAATTACAATAATGTTACGAAAAAGAAATCTGTAGGACTGTTCTGGCCTTATTTACCGGACAGGAAATTTCCTTTACAAATTTTTTATTAGAATATGTTTTGATTCACGATATCAGTGAGAATTTTTTTAAGTCGTTTTTGTTTATGACTTTAGTTAGATAACTTTTTTTTAATTAAAGTTGTCTATTGATAATTTTAGTTTATATAAATGGTTAGTTTTTTAAATTTTTAATTATTAAAAGTTTTATTTTAATATTTATAAAATTGATAAAATCAATAATTGTTGAATATTTAGAGATCAATGTTAAATAATGTATAAATAGATTAAATTGTAAAAAAAATTAATATGGTAATGAGAAAAATATTAATATATATATATAAGAAAATAAATTATATATTTTTATGACCAATATGATAATTGTTATAATAGTAATCTTCATTCTGATAAAATTAATTCTTTTTTTATTTGAATAAAGTTGATTCGTCTTATGGGGAATATAATTTATGATTGTTTTTTCTTATTGTTGTCCATGCGAATTTTGATTAAGAATAAATTTTGGACTTAATAAAGGATGAACAATATTTGTTTTGAATTAAATGAAACTATATTTCATAAATCTTGTAATTTCTTTGTAGCGTGCACAACATGTGAACATATGTCAATTTGTAAATAACAAGATTAACATCCAAGAATAAAGAAGTCTGAAAGATTTAAACTTTCTACAATCGTACCGTTAATAATTTAATTTTACTAAGTAATTTATTGGACGTCCATGATATTTAGGGATTTGATATCACTTAAACATTTACACATGTTTACACGTCATTCATTTCTCTTTAAATAAGTTCACAAATTTCTTATAGAAATAGATATCATACTCGTAAAATATATTTTATTTTGATACCTATTCAACAAACCACAATTTAATTCTTTTAAATGATTTTTACAAGAATACATATAAATAAGATACGTATTCCCTTTAAAAGTAAATTCATATATTTAGCAAGATTAATTATCTTATATCCGTACCTTTTGCCCCATTATATGCTTAAAAGTTCACTCTTTCAAAGAAATAAAACTCATAACTCATAACATTCACTTTAGCAATTAGTTTGGACAAAGGTAGAAATAACCCTAATTTTTTTTATAATGTATTTTTTATTTTTTTTAATGTATGTTCTATTTTTTTTAATGTATATTTGACTTTTTTTTACTCAATTTTCCTTATTATTATATTAATATATATTTTTAACAATTTAATCTATCTACATTGACGTCTAAATATTCAATAATTGTTTTATCAATCAATAAGCGACTTCGATTATAAAAAAACACCCTCCAATTATAAATCTAAAAGCTGCTTAAAAACAACAACTTACTAAAGTTTTGGATAAAAAAACGACTAAAATAAATTATCCCCACACAAAAGTCATATATTTATGTGAAAAAAAATCGTATTTTATAACACAACTTTAATAAAGTCCTATGATTTATTTATATCTAAATACTCATCTTTTTCTTTTATTTTTTAAGACTTTTTGAATATTCAATTATTATTATTATTATTATTATTTTTTAAATTTACCCATTTAAAAAAATTAATGAGAATTTCTCTTAATAAATAAGTCTATGTTATGAGTTTATAAGACACTTAATTTATAATTTTTTAAAATTATTATTATATTATTAAAAGTAATTATTAATTAAATATATCTTATAAATAATTTCATAAGATCAATTATAGTTTATATATATCCTAATTTTTAAAGATAAAATTGTAATAAATTAGAGTTTTAAAATAAAATATGATAATAAACCTAATATATATTAATATAATGAGACAGGAGAACTCTTTCCCAAATAAAATATTCTATAATTAATTTTTATGAGAAAAAAATATAAGACTATTTTGTAATCTATTTTTTAGGAAAAAAAATAATTTACATGGATGTTATATCTTCTTATTTTTAATCCTTTAATCACACTTTTTTTTCAATCCTTATCTCAAATATAAAATAATAAATAAAAATAAAAAATATCATTTTTTTCTTACTTCAATTACACGTTTTTAGAATTATTTATCTTTATTTGTCTTTCACAATTAATAATTATGTAAACAAATATTTATATTTTAAATATATATATATATATATATATATATATATATATATATATAAAATAAAAATATAATAAAAGACACACATGATAAGAGTATTTGTTAATATTTCTCTAACACCATATAATAATAAAAATAACTCCCATCCCACAAGTAATGAAATAAAAATGTTGAACAGACTGGGAAAGCGTCTTTCTTTTCCTGTTTTAATTATCAAATAACTAAAAAATGCTAAACGAAAATTGAATATTTTGTAACTGTTTTTTATACGTTCTCTTACAATTTTAATGTTTAAATTGTAACAACTATAAATAAAATTTGATAATAATTATATTTTAACTATGTTAATTTTTCATTATTATTATCTATAACATAATTCCATTTTTACTATTTTTTATCTTAATATATTATTTATCCTAATCTTATATATTCTCTTTCCTTTAATTATACGTTTGAAATAATAAAAAATATCGATTCTAACAAAATTAAACAATTATCACATGTTTTATGTCATTTCTCCCTCTTAAAAAATCCTTTTATATTAAAAAAATAATAATAAAAAACGAGTTAAACTGTATTTTAGTGGTTATTACAAAAAATTAGTAAGATGAACCGACTTATTATAATCAGGGACTACAGATCTCAGGTTTTTCTATCAGGTTTGACGGTGTTAACCTGTAAAGTTTATATATATATAATTTTTAAATTTTTATTCATTAATTAATATTTTTATTAGATAAATTAAAAAAGATATAATATTTATATGTTAAAATATTCAATTATAATTAATAATTAATTAGTTAATATTTATAATTTAAACTATAATATAAAAAATATAAATATTTTTAATTCTAATCTTTATTATTTTAATTTTAATATATAAATATATTTTTTAAAATATATTAGTAGGTTAATCCTTCACATCTTATGTTTAGCTCAATAAATAAATAGAATGAACCAAAACAAACCTATTTTATTAATTTTGAAATAAATTATTATACATAATCTATTTTATTATCCCTAAAACGTGTGAACATATAAAATTTGTTTATCGTTTAACATCTTTTTAATAAACCTTCCTACAATATTATTTTAAATTTCAAACAGAAGATATATATCATCATTAAAAAACACTTTCCTTTTAAGTAAAAATAAAGTATATTTTGTATCATAAAGGAAAAATTGTTTTTCTTCTATAGTATGCATTTCATGACATAACCAGTTAATTTTATTTTATTTTCTCTCAATCACATACTTGTATATTTAATCTTCTATATTATTTTTAGATTCGATTTTAATACCTTTTTAAATACTGACAATTATTACAAATAACCTGTTAATCACAAGATAAATTATTGATTCTAGATCTAAAATATAATTCATATATTCAAGTATATTTATTTGCTATAAATTATAATGGTTAAAATTAAAATAGAAAAGTTTTTTTAATTAACAAACATACGTTATTTAATGTAAAATAATATACAGTATTAATGGATTAAAGTCAGTTTTAATATAATTATAAAATAATTATAATAAAAAACAAATTCACCATTATTTTTGTTTAGACAAAAGTATAAAACTAAATGTTAATGGTACTGAAGAGATTATGTTGATGCGGGTCTGAAGGGCTAAGGCTTTTTGTCACCATAGAGGGCAACTCTGTAGTTATATTTCTGAAGACGTGACTTCACCTACTGTAATATGACAAGCAATTCGTTCTCGTTTCACTATCCTCTCTGACATACCACACACAATACAAAACAAAAGAAAAAAGTAATTTGGGTTTGAGATAACCACTACTCTCCATGGCCACGGAATTTAGTTCCATCCCCGTAATTGGTAAATCCACTTCCATAACCATCATTCTCCTTACTTTGATCATCTCCTCAATTCTCAATTCCATCAAACATAATCAGGCTCTCACGTTCAATTTTTTTTTTTTATTTTTTTTTTGTGTGTGTATAGACACAGACATGTTTGTACACGCTCATGGTTTTGCTTTCCATGATTTTGAGAACATGTATATACTTTGGTTTATCGGAATTTACCAAAACATTTTACGATTGGATTTGCTTTGGATGGTTGATAAGTATAGTAGAAAACTGAGGAGTAAAATATTCAGTTTAGAACTCAGAAAGAACATTTTGTATGTGTGCTAGGTTCAGAATCTGACAACTAATAATAGTATTTATAATGGTGTTGGTGATGCAGATATTAGTCCGCTTTTGGCGAAGGTAGATGATCCCAAAATGGTTGAGGACCCTGGTGTACTCGAGGTTGTTAGACAGTTGGACAAGGCTTGTACAGAGGCAGGGTTCTTCTACGTGGTAATTGTTTGTCGCATCTTTTATGGTGCTTTACGCATTTCTATGCAAAAGAGGGTTGAAACAAAAGGGTTATTATTTTTAGAATCGTGAGACAAATTTATCAGAATCTGCACTATATAGCAAAGGGTTCACTTTTACTTCTTCTAACAATATGATGTTCTGAATTTCGTGTAGATTCCAAGTATATATAAAATAGTGGTTCCGTTGATACGGTATGACAGATAGCTAGTATTTCTTTAAGATTGAAATGATAAAAGAAAACAATGGCTCACAGTAAATGAATATACCCTTGATTTCACATACTAAGTTAATTTGATAAATGACGTTTATGGCAGCTTAAGCTAAACTAGTGCTACCTATCAACAGGCTTTTGTCTGAATAGAATTCTTCAATTCAACTCAAGAATTGACTAGTCTCTCATTTCATAAGGGTCTGTTTATTATAGGGATACAAATTCACGATGGTACTAGTAAAAATGCATACAAAATAAATCCTGGAATTTTTCATCTCCATTTATTTCCCTGCGGTCAAGTTGTGACTACTGAATTATGGGCAAAAGTAGTTGATGCATAGAAACCTCAAAAACCAAACTGCAACGAAAAATCATGTATGGCACTTAGGTCATTTTGTGTTTAATGTTCAAATCCTGCGGTTCTTGAATGACAGAAAGGACATGGTGTTCCTGAGAGTCTCCTCAAAGAAGTCAAAGATGTAACCCGCAAATTCTTTGAACTTCCATATGAAGAAAAGGCAAAAATCAAAATGACTCCGGCTGCTGGATACAGGTTTGCTTGGTTTACATCGATCGACTTTGTATATAAGACTCACTTCAGTTCATAATTAATCAGGTTTATGCATCCAATTTGCACTAATAGCAGCCTGGTGTCTGATGCAGAGGTTATGAAAGAATTGGAGAAAATATAACCAAAGGTGTACCTGACATGCATGAAGCTATTGATGTAAGTCTTGCTAGTTGCTTAGCATATAAAATTAAGTGTCTTTGTTTCTAGTTGCGGTTCTTTCCTGATATATATGTCACAGAACTGTCAGAACACATTAGGCTCATCTTACTGCAATTTAGAGTTATGTATAATTTTATTTCGCTAAAAATGGCAACAACACACATCTAACTCTTGTCTAATGTAGCTGATGGATCAAAGTAAGTATTTAACATTGTTCATGATCAGATTTCCTCAATATTTCGTTTTCTTTCTCTGAGTGGAGCCTAGCGTAGCAGATCCTAGAATTCATTTTGATTCTCGTGATTGTATCAAGAAATAAATGATCGCTTTAATCTTCTTTAACAGTGCTATCGAGAAGTGACCAAGGGCATGTATGGAGATCTTGGCAAAGTTATGGAAGGAAGCAACCAGTGGTACATGGAAATGGGGTTTTTCTGTTTATTATTGCATCTAAACACCCTTCAATATTTAGCTAAATATTAGCTCGAGAACAATTATATATATGCTTTTAGTCCCGAATTTCTCATTAACTAGGAAGATTCATTGAAGTGGATTTATGGTCTGTGGATACTTTAGCATGATTGATGTTCTCTCTGATCTGGCTCTGGTACACTAGCATTTGAGTTACTGCACAAGGGAATTGGATTTTGGAGTATTAGCAGTCAGTCAGAAAAAAGACTCTGTTGCAAGATAACTGTTACATCATTCTGTACTAATGCGTGTCTTCTGATCCTCTTCCATTTTTTGGGTTCACCATGCAGGCCACAAAATCCTCCGACATTCAAAGTTCTTATGGAGGAGTATATTAGTCTCTGCACAGGCATGCATTATCCTCCTCCACTCTTTTTTTCCGTGATGCGAGTTCTTACAATTAAATTTTTGTTTCCTCATATAGTTCCTTTGTTAGAGCAGACCTTGCAAGGAAAATTATGCGCGGAATTGCTTTAGCATTAGGTGGATCACCGAATGAATTTGAAGGTCAAAGAGCTGGGGATCCGTTTTGGGTAATGCGGATCATTGGATACCCAGGTGTATCATCTGTAAATGGAAAACACGCCCTTCAAAATGACATTGGATGGTAATGAAATCCTGGATCTGGTGTCTCCAAATTTTGCCTATTTTTAATTACTTGACCTTACATTGCTGATGCCTTTTCCTTTGTTACTTTTTCTTCTCCAATCTTTGAATCAAAATAAACCCAGTGGAGCACACACCGATTACGGTATACTTTTACCTTTGCATTAATGATGAGTATATAGTATCTGTCTGGTCTAGTCAGTGATTTTTGATGTTGTTTAACAGGTTTGTTAACATTGCTTAACCAAGATGACGATATAAACGCACTTCAGGTATGCACTTGTTTATGTCCTTTTTGTATTTTAAGATACTCGAACTCCTCATTTATTTATTGCATGCAGTTATTGATTTTATCTCTATTCTCACTGCCTTCAATCTTGTACCAAGCAATTATATACCTACACTTGGGAGAAATTGTTACTTGAACCACCACCTATATTATGGTCTCTACCAATATTTAAGTTTTTTTAAATTTAAGATAAAACAATTAATGATATTTAATTGTTGTCATATTGATTGAGACCGTGGACAAGAGGTGGTTCAGGATCACCTAATAATTTTTTGCAAATTTGGGGGCTTCCAGACAATTTTAAATCTGTCTGTTCGGCCAGTGTCTTCAGAAAATACTTTTTGGTATCCCATTATATCTGTTCGACTTTATTTCTAGATTAAAATGAAGTTTTGCTAAAGTGGTTGATTCTTTCAACCCATACCTATTGACTTAAATTTGCGTTCTCTATTTTATCCTTCGATAATTTTTAATGGCCCTGAAACTGTCACTTGAAAAGAAAGAGATGCAACTAAATTGTTTATGCTGTGAAATTGTTGAAGGTGAGAAACCTATCTGGCGAATGGATATCAGCACCTCCAGTTCCTGGGTCAATTGTATGTAACATTGGTGACATGCTAAAGGTATCTAATACTTAATCTCTTCATCTTAGAAATACAATCTGATATTTGGTAGATAATCTCATTAAGTGTGGGAGAGAGCTGCAGATATACTCCAACGGGTTGTACGAGTCAACTTTGCATCGGGTGATAAACAACAATTCAAAATACAGAGTCAGCGTAGTATACTTTTACGAGGTTAGCCCCTTTTATATTGAAAAAATTCAAATACTTCTCAGGCGACACTCAAATGACATCGATAAGAGAAGAAAAATATAGGTATTGGAAAGAAAAATATTCATAGCATGACACTTCGTAAAAGAAAAAATATAAATTTTATTATAGTTATAACGTGAGAGGACGAAATATTTAGAAAAATGGAGTGTTCATGAATTATTACTCTTGTTATAAATGATATGGTGTGACAAGAAGAGAGGAAATGAAAACTTGTAAACTATTATTTAGGTGTTTAAAAATAGAGGGTATCTACTTTTATATTAATGTTTCATCCTTTTCTCTTGTTTGTTTCTTGCTTATCCTCTGCTGGATGAACAGACAAACTTCGATACTGTGGTAGAGCCGTTGGACACACATAAAACGAGGGCAAATGGCAACAGGAAGTTCGAAAGACCAGTCTATGGAGAGCATTTAGTCAGCAAGGTCCTCACAAATTTTGTTCTTGAGTAACCTTGTTTTTCTTGTTCTGGTGTGCAATAAACCAGCCATCTAGATCTCGTCTAACGAGCTTGTAGCTTGCTCGTCTATACCTACAACTGTGGATACTGTAACATTATAAGTACAAATCAATCTTGTTATTTATACGTCTTCATTCCAAAATTTATGTCTCGAGTCGTGTCATAAATCATACCATTCTATTAGAAAACCAAATAACAACATTTTAAGTTTAACAGGAGGTTTTGTCATCAGATCATTGATGCAGTTCAAAACACAAACCAAATCCTGCTTATGAAACGTACAACACAATCACATAAATTAATCCGCTCTGACCAACCATCAGCGTTTTAATAGGGTACAACACTGCCAATTGGCAATTGCCATAAGAATGAAGACAAATACAACAAAAAATGGAAATTAGAAATTTGAACTATTCTCACTTTTAATTACTACAAAATTGTATCTAAATCATGTGTAATCATGCTAGCTTCGCCTCACCACCTCTACTACAGAAGATGTTTAATTGAGGTTTTTGCGTAACTTTGAGCTCCAAATGTCGGTCTGCAGCTGTGTCAATCTGAATAACTGTCTGCTGTAAGTTCCACTCGGGTCACTTTGTAAAGTGGAATTCTTGTACCTGTACCCCTAAGTCGATCTACCATGTCATAAAGAAATTCAAAAGTCAGTTTAGATTGCTTGTTTAGCTCCTCCCTGATGTGAGGCTGAAGGCTGAACCAGTCTCCCAACAATTTATGAACATGAGAACGAATCATCCTCCATGGCACAGGGTACATTTCACAAAGTTTTAAATACTCTATTACCAGATCTGCCTGGTCCAGTTTTCCATCCACATTGGTTCCTTCACTTTCAGACACCCATGCAGCAGTTCGAAATCCAGCAAAGAGAGCAGGATTTTCAAGCAAGGTCTCAGCAGAAAGCACCCCTTCAACCCCAGTCTCTTCCAGGCAGTCTCTAACATCATCTATGTGGCGTATGTTTCCATTTGCAAGGACTGGGATCCTGACTGCATTTTTCACAGCCCTGATAGCTTTCCAGTCTGCTCGAAATTTCTTCCCATCCTTCTCATCCCTGGTCCTGCCATGTACAGCTAAAAGCATACAACCAGCCTCTTCAAGCATCCTAGCATACTTCAAAGTGTCTTCCAGATTGGGAAAGAGCCTAATCTTGCATGAAACAGGAACCTGGAGGTTTACAGCTAACTTTTCCACTAGAGATTTCACCAGAGGAAGGTTATCCATCAAAAAGGCACCGTAGTTTCCCCGTTTAGCAATGCGCTGTGGACACCTACAAAATCACATAAAATAAATACACCAAAATTTTATCAAAAAGGTAAAATTTAAGTATAGTGATGGCCGATGAAAATTGTTAAACATGCTTGAAATAAGAAAAGTTTTTGTATTTTTACGGTGATAGTATACCATCCTAGCTATGTGGATGGTCCCTATCTATCATTTAAATAATATTTAAAATATTTTAACTGGCAAGAACAATTTTTTTCAGAACGAATCAAGGATTTGAGCCAGAGCACCCTACAGGAATAAGCTGAACCAGAAGAATCCAAGAGTATTAAATGGTCAGAGGAATTCGAGAGGCTCGTTTCGCTCATAAACCTTATTATTACTGTCTCTCCCAAAAAGAACGTATAAGAATGCCTATTATAGTAAATACAATCATAAACTTGAGCAAATTACTTTCCTCCCTGGGAAAATAATTTGAATTACACTGTCCCTTTTTTAAAATTTATAAAAATTACAGTCCCATCTCTTGAGAGATGAAATTGCTAGACATCTATTTAAATATAAAATAAAAATAAAAAATCAAAATTAGAGAGGATTCATGAACACCCATTCATTCCTTACCATTTCCTCCTATTGCTATAAACTATGGCAGAAATGGCAAACATAGCAGGTACAGAAATGAAGCAGGTTTGGAGGAAAGACAATGCAGATATAAATTACCCAAGATTAATATCAACATAATCGCAATGAGGCTCGACCTTGCGTGCAGCTTCCAACAACACATCGGGATCGTTGGCACAGAATTGAACAAAGAGCGGTCGATCCTCCTGTGGTTGTTCCCAAAAGTCAGAACAAAGCAACAAGAATAGTATTAACAGAACAGGAAAAATGGGTGATTGTTATTTATGTACCTTGCAAGTGGTGAATTCTTCGTTCCTGTACTTTTCGGTCTCGGAGAAGATGCGGGAATGTAGCATGGGGGTGTATGCGCCCTGGGCACCGTACTTGCGGCAGAGCATTCGAAACGGCAACTCCGAATTGTCTACCATCGGGGCCACTATGAATCTGGGTCGGCCCAACTTGGTCCAATGAGCCCATGCCCGTTCCGCCCGAGACTCTCCGCTAAGACTCCGGGCCGGAAAGCCCAAGTGCTGGTTGTGTTTGTCGTCGTGTGGTTGTTCTTCGTCGACATAATCTGGGTTTTGGGCCATGAGAGGACAAGATTCCGCACAGAAATATCGGTGGAGAAGGAGAAAGGAGTAGGGTTTAGGTTTCATCAATATACATGGGTTTTGTGAGGCCATCCAATCGCGTTGTTGCTCGTTGCGTCGAATTATAGCGGGTATTTGATTCTCTTCTTTTTTCAAGTTACTCCCCCGAGTAAAATAATTGCAGAGTAGTCCTTATTAAAAATATTAATTTTTATATTATTATATTTTAAGGATAAATGTAATTCTCAGCTAATATATTATACTAATAGTTTAAATCTTTATATATTTATATAATTAAAATAAATGAGAGTTTGAGAGAAGTGACTATAAAATAAAAATAAAAGATAATGAAAAGAGTGAAAAAAATAATAATTAAATAAATAGATAAAAAATTTATTTAAGTAATTTTTTAAAATATATTATTTATATAAAAATTGGACAAATGGGAAAAAAATTAAATTGATATGATTGATTTGAAAAATAAAAAATCTGATTATTAGATAATTTAATAAATTATTAAAATATTTTTATTAAAGTGTAATTAGAATAAAAAAGTAAAATATAAATGATTTTATAAAATAAACATTATTTTATAATTTAAATAATTAATTAAAGTCAATTACAATTTTACTTTTAATATACAAGCAACCCAAATATTTTTTTTACACGTAAAATTAGGTGATGGAGTTCATAATGAAATGACATCAAACAAAAAAAATAGTTATGAATAAACATTTTTACTAAAAATTAATTAACATATTAATATAAATAAGAATATATCATGAAAATATTAAAATAGGAGAAAAATTATGATCATATATAATGATAACCATATTATTATTATATATGAAAATTTTTACAATAATTTTTTTATGTTTTTGACCTCAAATATAATGATACTTTCTGATGGGTCGTCCACTATAGCTACAGTCCAATTCACCACAATAAAAAAAATCTCTGCCTATTACACTTGCAGAGCGTCACTTTTTGCTCTCTCGGTTCTCTCTCTTCAATCTTATCTCGTCCTCTCTTTCTCTCGAACACACTCGAACTCTATCTTCCCTTCTCTGTTTCACCTCTTTTCCTCCTCACCAATCACTCTTCTTTGCTACCACAATAATGAATCATCTCTCTGCTTTCACTCTCACTGATTAATTTTCTTTCCATTTCACTAATCGTGGTTTTCCTTTATTTTGCAGGTGTTCGTGTTAACGTACAGTAAGAAGAACAAAGGAACATGTTTTTATCAAGAAGGAAAAAAAAAAATTTTTGCATCCACACTTTTACATGTAATAAAGTAGTATTTAAACTACCTGATTTTGTTTCTAGTATAGAACTAGAAATCTGTTAGTCTAAAAAAAACAGTTTTCTAGTACAGTTTTTGGGTTACAAAGTCAACACCCCCTCTAACCTAATCCAAAAACCCTAAATTAGTCATCCCAAGTTCCTTCCTGAGCTTGTCGAATCTTGTTTACTTCAGTGGCTTAGTGAAAATGTTCGTTATTTGCTCTTTTGTGTGACAATAAGTCAGTGTCAGCTTTCCTTTGCCCACTTGATCACGAAGAAAATGAAACTTCGTGTCAATGTGTTTGTTCCTTCCATGTAGTGTAGGATTCTTCGATAGGTTGATTGCATATTTGTTGTTTACATTGAGCTGAATTGGTTTCGAGTATTCCAGCTTCATCTCCTTCAAAACTTCTTCCAGCCACCATACACTCTGACAAGCTGCTTCTGAGGAAGCTATGTACTCTGCTTCACATGATGATAGGGCCACAACATTTTGCTTCTTTGAGCACCAAGAAATTGGTATGTTCAAATATCTGAATAAGTATCCATAGATACTTCTTCTCTCAACTCTATCTCCACACCAGTCTGAATCCGAAAATGCCTCCAGCACTGCTTCATTCTGCTCATCAGCTTTTGGGAAGAAAATTCCCTAATCCGTAGTGCCTTTTAGATACCTCAAGATGTGTTTAGCAACTGTCAGGTGGGGTGTTCTAGGATCAAACCTACTCCATAGCTTAAATCTGGCCTGCTATTACACAAAAACCTGAGTGACCCTACTATCTGCTTGTATAAAGTTCCATCTACCACTTTAGCCTCCTTTTTTTCAGTCAATTTTGTTCAAGGCAGCACTAGAATTACAACTTCATTGCACTATTCCATCTTGAATCTCTTCAAAATCTCCTGTGCATATTTCTTATGATGTAGAAACACTCCACTGTGAGTGTGTACAAACTCCAGCCTAAGGAAATAACTCAGTGTTCCTAAATCTGTCATCTCAAACTCAGTCTTCATCTTTTCTTTAAATTCTCCAATCCCTGCATCTTCATTTTTTGTAATGATTAAGTCATCAACATATAAGCACACAATAAGTATGTTTGTATGACTTGTGCTTTTCACGTACACATCAAATTCAACTGTGCATTTCACAAATCCCAGCTTGGCTAGAACTGCATCAATCAACCTGTTCTAGGCTCTAGGAGCTTGCTTGAGCCTATACAAGGGCTTTCTTAATCTGTACACAAGGTGTTTTCTCCCTTCTTTCTCAAAACCAGGTGGTTGTACAATGTACACCTCCTCTTCTAGTGGGAAATTAAGGAAGACTGACTTCACATCCATTTGAACCATCTTCCAGCCCTTAGAACTTGCTACTGCTGTAACTAGTCTCACAGTCTCCATCCTAGCTAAAGGGGCAAATACCTCTGTGTAGTCAATTCCATCCTGTTGTAGGAAGCCTTTTGCTACCAATTTGGCTTTATGCTTGGCCACACTTCCATCACGTTTCAATTTTAGCTTGAAAACCCACTTTACATCAATAGGCAATTTATCTTGTGGCAGTTTGACTAATTCCCATGTTCTATTTTTCTCAATCGCCTCCAACTCCTCTTTCATAGCATCCTTCCATTCTCTTACCTTTAAGGCTTCCTTCCAGGTTATAGGTTTTGTGTCAGCCATCAAGGCTTGATGAACTAGATCACCAGCTCCTGTAATTACACCATCTCCATAAACTTCATGTCCAGCAAGCCTAGTGAAAGGGAACCTCGTCCTCTGATTCCTTCTATTGTTTGAAATAGCAGCTGACGACTTAGTTTTATCTTCTAGAACACACAGGATCTGTGTTACAACATCCTTCTTTTCTTCCCAGTTCCAGATGGATTCCTCATCTACCACCACATCCCTACTAATCATCATTATCTGTTTTTCTGAGTCATACAACTTGTATGCACCCGTTGAATGGTACCCAATCAAGATTAGGGGCACACTCTTGTCATCTAGTTTCCTCCTCTTCTCATCTAGGATATGTCTATGACAAATTGACCCAAAAATCTTCAAGTGCTGCACTTGTGGCTTGACACCAGACCAGGCCTCTTCTGGTGTCACAAACTTCAATCTTTTGGTTGGGCACCTGTTAAGAATGTAGGCAGCAGTAGTTACTGCCTCTCCCCAATAGCCATGTGGTGGACCTTTTCCTTTCAACATGCACCTTGCCATATCAACCAACATCATGTTTCTCCTCTCAGTCAGCCTATTGTGTTGTGGTGTATAGGAAGCAGTCATCTCATGCACTATTCCCTTCTCTTCACAAAATTTGTTGAACTCTCTAGACTTGTATTCACCACCTCCATCAGTCCTCAAGATTTTTAACCTGCTGTCAACCTGTCTTTCAACACGAGCACAAAATTTTTCAAAAATAGAAAACACCCCTCCTTTCTCCTTTATCAAGTACACTCATATTTTCCTTAAAAACTCATCAACAAATGTGAGGAAATATTTATTCCCTCCTAGTGATGGTGTGTCTAGAGGACCACACACATCAGAGTGCACCTCTTCCAACACTTGTTTAGCTCTCTTTGGTGCAGAGTCTGTAAATTCCTTCCTGGGCTATTTTCCAATCACACATCCTTCACAGATTTTGGCTGGTAGCTGGATCTGTGGTAGCCCTTTTACCATCTGCTTGCTACTGAGTTGGTTCAAACTTTTAAAATTCAGGTGACCGTATCTGTAATGTCACAACCAACTTTCATCCTCCACATTAGCAGCTGCTAGACATTGTATTTTAGTAGTGTCTAGATTCACTTTAAACGTCTTGTTCTTGGACAATGGTGCCTTAATCACGAGCCTCTGCTATGAGTCATAAATCTCAATCAATTTTTGCTGCATGTTCATGGTGTAACCCTTCTTTAAAAGTTGTCCCAAGCTGAGTAAGTTATTCTTCATGCTTAGGACGTATAGAACATCATTCATGTAGGCCACCTAGTCATCCTTCCTTGTAATCATCACCTTTCCAATTCCTTCTGCCACAATGGAGCTATTATCTGCAAATTTAACATTGTTTCTCACACATGAATTGAGGTCAATCAATCAATTCCTATTTCCAGTCATGTGATTGGAGCACCCCGTATCCAAGTACCAAGACATTCTATCCTCCTTACTGCTTGTTATTGCCATCAATTGTACTTGGTCTGAATCAAACCCATTTCCTTCTTTATGTGCCATATTTGCTTCTTCTCCTTTTTGACCCATCTTTGTCGTGTCCTCCTACCAACACTCATAAGAATAGTGTCCATATTTTTCACAATTATAGCACTAAATTCTTCTTTTATCATATGGTCTCCTGCCACCTTTTCCTCTTCCTCTGTTCTGGTATCCGTCTCTACCATCATATCCATTATTCTCAGATTTTTCCTGGGCCACTGTTTCATTGTTTCTGCCACTACTCTTGCCACCATTTCTGTCTCTAAATCTGCCTCTGGACCTTCCTCTACATCTACCTCTCCAGCCACTTCTGCCTCTGCCTCCATAACTCATTTTGGCCTGTAAAGCCTGTTTAGTCACCTTCTCATCATTCTTCCTTTCATTCACTCTTTGTTCATGTGCTTCAAGAGAGTTTTATAGTTCTTCTAGTGCCATAACATCAAGATCCCTTGACTTTTCTATGGCCATCACAATGTGGTCAAACCGTAGGGTTAAAGTCCTCAAAACATTCTCTATAATTCTACAGTGTTTTATGTTCTCATCACACGCTCTCATGGCATTGGTGATCACCTGCAATCTGCCAAAATACTCTGTCACAGTCTCCTTTTCTATCATAGAGAGTAGTTCATATTGCCTTCTCAAGGATTTTAGTTTCACCTTCTTTATTTTTCCAGAATTTCCATACCCATTTTGCAAAATCTCCCAAACCTCCTTTGATGGGATAACTTTTGAGATCTTCTTAAAAATAGGGGCTGCAACACATTGATGCAGCAATACACAAGCCTTACAATCCAGCTTCTTCATCTCCTTGTATGTCTTCTTGACTTCTTCATTTGTATTCTTGGGTGGTTCTTTGAAATTCACTTTCACGATCTCATCAATTTCTTGAAATCCAAGAATAACTTCCATTTTTACACACCAATCATCATAGTCATTTCCATCAAATATGGGTAAGCTTCTCAGGATCAAACTCACCACTAGCCATGAGTAAAACACGCAACAATACTTTCAAGATTCCCTTTCTTGAACCTTGCTCTGATACCACTTGTTGGGTCGTCTACTATAGCTACAACCCAATTCACCACAATAATTTTTTTTTTTGCATATTACACCTACTGAGTTATCTCTCTCTTCAATCTTATCTCGTCCTCTCTTTCTCTCGAACCCTATCTTCTCCTCTCTGCTTCACCTCTTTTCCTTTTCACCAATCACTCTTCTCTACTACCACAATGATGAATCACCTCTCTGCTTTCACTTTCACTTTTTATTTCACTAATCGTAGTTTTCCTTTATTTTGCATGTGTTCGCGTCAACGTACAACAAGAAGAACAAATGAACATATTTTTATCAAGAAGGAAAAGATAAGTATACTGAAAGAAAAAAAACAACATTTTTTACATCCACACTTTTAGATGGAATGAAATAGTATTTAAACTACCTGATTATGTTTCTAGTATAGAACTAGAAATATGTTAGTCTAAAAAAACCGTTTTCTATTATAATTTTTGGGTTACAAAGTCAACACTTTCCAAAACAAAAATGTAAACAAATTATTACAATATTTTATTACAAAAATATAAGAAAAATTAAATATTTGTTTAAAATATCTTTTATTAAAATATCAAAATATCATGAATTTTAAATTTCATGAATTTTAAATTTATTATATAATTATTATCACCTATTTAATTATTTATAAGTGATATAAATTTTTTTAAATATATCATTTTTATTAATCTAATAATTATGTACGAAAATTCGGTGGGATGATAGAAAATTACGAAAACAAAAAAATAAAAATATAAGTATTTGAATAAAAAAATAGAATGAAAAAGGAATTAATAAATTTATTTATTGTTTTAATATTATAATTATTATTCTAATAAATAAAAATTATTATTATTAAAAGTTACAGTAATTAAATGACTATTCTTAATTATATATATATATATATATATATATTAATTAGTATTGGTGCTTCGATTTTTTGCAAAAAAATGTTTTTGAATTGACTATTCTGTACAGACGGTGTTTTCTCACCTTCATACAACACAAAGCCTAAGTACTGAATTTTCTGGGGGCAATTTTGTATTTTCTGTTTCATTATCTTGCCTTTTTACCTAAAAGAAGTGACAGATTTTCCTAAAAACGGAGAAAGTTTGTATATTTATATCTTGCTTAATATTATATATTTAATGCTTGATAGTTAATCTCTTTCCAAATACTTAAATATTCACTTTTAATAAAGTTTTTTGTTCCAAACACTTATTTGCCCATTAATAAGAGTCTAACAACCTTACACTCTTTCTTAATGTTCGGATTCTTAATGCTATTACTCAAAAGAGTTTAAAAGTGGTAAACAGAGTGGTATAGAATCTTAGAGTGTTAGATCAAGTGGCAAATTGGTCATTGCTAATGTAATTTTAGTTTCATGGAATCAAGTATACACATGTGAGTAGTGTTACTTAATCTATCAATAATTTAAAACATTATTCTCATTGTATAAATTTTTTCAAACAATTACAAAACATATTTTGTGGGCCTTTGGTTTGGGTACAAATGGACATGCCCTAGTCCAAAGATTTTGTCTTTTCTTTGGTTGTGTTGCATGTTGCATATTTCATAGGATGATGCTGAGAAATTGTTTTTAATCTCCAAATTGAATCCTTCTCTTGGCAAGATCCCACAGGATTAAATACTAGGCGAGCTACCAAATCCAATTGCATTTTTTTTCAGGTATACAACAACTTTGTTTAAGAAGGGTTTTTAGTTACATGACTCAAATATTTCAGTCATGCACATTATTTAAAAGTTAAAAGCGAAAAATAAGTCACCCATGTAGAAGGCTATGTATCAATGGGTCATAAATCATAAACAATTAATGGTAGTTGAAAGCTCAGCATTTTGGTGGCAGATTTTCTGAATTTCTTAAACTAAAGACACGCTTTCAGAAGAAGTAATAACAACCATAATAAACAAAAACTAATAGTCTAGTCTTACACAATTAATTGTCTTCACATTTAAATACCATTGAGTCTTTGTTATCATCGGATTTTCTCTCTCTCTCTCTCTCGTCACACGTCAGCATTGAAAACATTGACCATGGAACAATGTTTCTAATATCTGTTTAATTCCGCAGACCATGATGCACTGTATTTTCATCATGTATGCACATGTGATGAATAATTTTAGATGAGAGACTTTAATATATAAAAAATAATTATTATATAAAATTAAATATATTATATAAAATGTTTATTGATATGATTACTATTATTGATTAAATTTAAATTTTGAAAATGTAAAATTTCTTTTATTATTATTTTTTAAAATGAGTTTATAATTTTATTTTTATATATTTTAAAAACTTAATTTGAATTTTGTTTATATTTTAATATTAAAATATGATAATATAGAATATTAAAATAAGTAATTAATTAAATAAAAAATTATATTAAAACTAAAAATAAAATTATAAATTTTATTTTTCAAGATAAAATCATGAAAAAAATATAAAAGTAATCGAGTGTTAAATAAAAAAATATGAATATGAAAAGACTCGAGAGAAAAAATTAAAATGAAAAGATAAAAGTATGAATATAAAATTAAATGAGAAAAAGAGAAAAAGTACTTAAATAAAAAATTGTATAGGAAAATAGATATAATATTTATTATAATTAGAATAAAAAAATAAATATTTTATTTATATTTATAATATTTTTTATTTAATTTTTTAAAAATAATTATTATATAAAAAAATTGGTGGGAACCATGACAACGGCACGTGTAAATCCATCTTGGGCTATATATGACGTGTGGTTCAGTGTTTCATGCAAACATCTTATTTTATAATCTTTATTCTTAAATAAATTATAAATTATTTAATGAACTATTTCAAAAAATACAAATAATTAAACTAAAAGTATTGCTTTCTTGTTAATCATGTCCAAAGTATATTACATTACAACTAGGAATTTTTCACTAAAGACATGGGTTCAAAATTCATTATTTGTAGTTGGACCGGCACATAGTCATTAAATATATACACTTTTATATCGAATGATATATTTAGTAAAAAATTAATATAAAATTTAAAATTAAGTATAATTTAGTAAAAAGTATATAATTTATTATAACTTATTCTAGACCTTATATTCTAAGTGTGTTTCTCTAGCGCTTCAACCAATATCTTGATTTTTATTTACTAATAAAAACTAATGAGGTTCTAGGTTTCTTTGTTGTTTAACACGTACTAATAATGGTTTGTGAAGAAACAAAACCAGAAGGTAATGATATTAATATTAATAATACAGAATATGGATTTGAAATTGAATGAGCAACACTTTATTCCTTGTAGTATTTTCTTTTTTATTTTTCAATTTGATCTGAACAAATTGCTGATTATTATTTTGCTCTTTTAAAATCTGTCCATTGTGTAAACCCATGAAAGATATTTTGAGGCTATGTACATGCAGAGTTGGACATTGATATTCTTAAAACCATATACGAATATGCTTGGGCAACCATATATTTATAATGTATATGAAGGATGATAAAGCGTCCTTATAGCTCATGAGAAGCAACGGGAAGAAAAACGAAGACGGAGAGGAATGGTATTTGATGTGGATGATTGATTGAGGGAGGGAGGCACATGTGTGTGAATAATGAAATCGATAATGATGAAAGAGGCAAGGGGGACCCTATCAGAGCAACAAAGTTGACGTTAAGGCAAAGGCAAAGCTAGCAAAAGAACAAAATTGGTAACGAGGTAGGACCCTTCTCAGTGCTAGAACTTATCAATTCCACACCCACCCTATTTTGACTTTCACATCGGTTTTCCCACAAGACCCATTCTACACCATCCAATCCAAACCCATTTCCCACCCTACCCTCTTTCCTACAAATCAAACTCTCCAACATTTTTTGCATTTTAAACTCCCTCACCCTTTGCTATTTCTAACGCATCACCTACCTGCATTCATTCCATTCACTCGTTTAGCCGTCCCGACTCTCTCTCTTCCTTAGTCAACCTTCTCATACACGACATGTCCGTCCTCTTCTGTCCAATTCTTTGACTAGGTCCCTTTCGTTGCTTTTTCTTCACTTTACTCTTTCAGAAAATTCAAAGAAAAACCCGTTCAGCATTGAAACCCATCCCATAAAAAGTTGAGAAATGATGAGTATCCAAGATAAGCACCAAAGATAAAGTAAACCACATTGAGTAAAAGGCAAAGTTAAAAAAAGAATAAAAACCAAAACCCACTTGCTTTCCTAAATTCCAGATTCAAATCCGTTACCAAACCCACCACCACCTTACATTTTTTCTTTTTTTAATGATGCAACGGATTCACAATGTTTCAGCCTGAAGAGAATAAGAAAAAAGTAAAAAGAATCCAATAATATTGTACAGGGAAACGAAACACCCACTAATTTGTTTCCAGATTAATGATCTGACTAGAGTAGAGTTGCAATTCAACACCCCATGATTACCCCGTCCAAGTCTTGTAAACTTGATCAATGGTTGCGTTTCCGATACACCTGGTCACGGAGAAAAGATAACTGGGTACCAGCATCAAGATGATTCAAGAATAAGGTTAGTAGCATCAGCCGCAGAGAGTGTGTGATTATGCTCCCCCTCGTATGTTACCACCAGCATAGCTGGATCATCCAAAGCTCGCTCCACATGCTTTCGCGCTGGACACCCTCTGACGCTACTGCACTTGTAGTAACCCCTGTAATTGTTTTTAAAAATTTACTCAGCACCCCTCACTCCTCAGATTCAAACTAGGTCCTCACAACCAGCATAAAAAGGAAACCAATGAATTGGGTCCACTCCAAAATTTGAAATTCAGGAGTCAACTACGTAGCACTTACCACATACCCGTGCAAATTACGAAATTACCAATAAGCATAATAGATGTAGTACCTTGGATGAGGGGATCCTTTAATTGGTTTCTGTCCATACTTCCTCCAGGAATAATCATCTGGTGGAATATCAGCCATCTTCAAGCTAATAGCTGGTACCCTAACAACCCTCCTCAACCTCATTTTCCTACTGCATCACACCAAGCCTAAATAGTGAGAAAAAAACATCTAACGAACTAAATTGCATTTACTCCCAAAAAACGAAAATACCAAATTAATTCTGAAAATTTCAAAATTTCAGCGTGTCTTAATTTAGTTACGAAAAAAAGCTAATTTTGAAGAAAGAGGTATAGTTGTTGAGATACCTCTTTTTGGAACAATGACAGCGGCTAGAGGAGCTACCGCACTTTCCAGAAGCCAAGTTCTCAGAGCTGCACTTCCTCTTGAAAGAGGAGGAGGAGGAGAGCGGAGGCTTCCCCGCGGACGAGACGTGGGAGAGAGTGGAGATGTGGAAAGTCCCTGGCGCAGGTTGGGGCGGCGAGGAGGAGGAAGGTTGTTTGGTGTGGGCGTCGGCGGTGAGGGAGGAGATGAAGGAAGTGGCGGGGGAGGGGTAGGAGAAATGAATGGTTTTGGAAGAGGGGTCGTTGAGGGTGTTGTCTGTTTTGGGGATTTGGTTGAGGGTGGGTGGGATGTGTTGCAAAGGAGTGGCGTGGAAGACGGTAGGTTGGGAGGGTTGGGTAGGAGGAGGAGGAGGGAGAGGGGCTCGTCGGAAGCGGGCGTGGCCGGTTGGGGTTGGGGTTGGGGCGAGGAGCGAAATGACGTTTCTGAACTTGGAAACTGCGAGGTCAGCGACGGCCTTGCAGTCCATGGCGATTTCATTGGAGGAGTTGTATTGTTGGGGGGTCTGAGAGAGGAGTCTGATGAGCTTCTCGACGCTCTCTAGTCCGGAGGCGGCTTCCTGGACGGCATTTTCCTCGGCTTTGGTCGTGAAAGTGTTGGTTGTTGAGTAACCCGTCATGAGCTCCACGGCCATAGTTGTGGCCACTACACCATGGGAGAGGAGAATTAAGAACGAAGGTATTGGTTGACAAAGAGAACAGAGAATAGAAAAATGAAAGAAAAACAAGAGGAGGAAACGTATATGGGTGTGGTCAAAATGTGTGCTATAGGATTCGGCTGGTTTGGTCCACTTGGTGACTCCACTGTCACGTTACCCTGTTTCCGTCAAATGTTGCTGCCATCTCATCCCAATTACATCTAATTATAATATCCTATTATTATGTGACCACCTTCCAATCATTTTTTTTTTTTCATTTTGTACTATTCATTTCTGTTTTTAATTCATCAAGCAACTTCAATTTTAAATAGCTCCATGTCAAATTATCTACATCTTTTCATAATCGAATATGTTATTATCTAAATATAATTAATGTTTTAAAATATTTAAATGTTTAATATTTATCGTACAAAGTAAATAAAAGGAATACAAGGAAAAACTCATATTAATGTATTGTTAATAATTTTTACACTATTAATTATTTATAAATTGTTTTTAAGTTAAAAAACATTACATTTTATTATTATTATTATAATCAATAAATGTATTATAAATATTATACTTTAAATATTTTTTAAAATATTATTAAATGTCTTTTTATCAGAGAAATAAAAAAAACGTTACCTTACTATATTGCAAGTAGATTGTAATTAATTTATTTTTTTTTGTAAATTAACAATTTACTACCTAAACATGATAACGTTTTCAATTTAGAGTCTGGAAAAATACAATAAAAAATATGAAAATTAATTCAATAGCAAAATAGATATAATTGCAAAATAGTGTAAAATATTTTGAAAAACTTTGTTAAATATGTGTGAGTAAGTGGAGGACGTTGACCTTTTGTTCAGAGTGGGGTCCACGGGGATATAATTGCAACGAAGATTGTTGTATAGTAAGAGTAGGCGTGTGGTTCATGACAATGGCAAGGGGCGTGGGAAAGGAAGGGGTTTATGGGACGGTTTTGACTGCATCTGAATTTCCATTTGCATTTGCATTACATTTGGCAAATGTTGACTTGGATTGACACAATTGTCTCTTTCGTCGTTCCTTGGTGTTTTCTCTTGTACTACTCCCATACAATAAACACAATGCAATTTCCTTTTCTTAATACTGTTTCCTTTTTCTATTTCCTAATACTAATATTTATATTTGTTATCATATATACATATTCTATTTAAGAACCATATTTTCTAACATCTTATTAGGAATAAATAAATTATATTATTTAAAATAATAAATTAAATTTTATTAAAAATATATGTTTATAAATAATTTAATAAATATATTTCACTTCTAAGCTATTCAACATCATTTTTATCTTTTTTTTATTATTTGAATTGTTTTTTATTCGTTGGTTTATAACATTTTATATTGTTGTCTAATCATAAATCCGTATATATTATAAGTTAGATAAGTTTAATATATTTAATAAAACTTATTGTTACATTAAAATAAAATTATTTTCTAATAATTATAAAACGTTCAAATGGTAAAAAAACCAAATAGATATGCCTGGATTGAAAAATATAAATTTGATAATTACATATATGAAAAAAAGTTGTCCCACTCGTCTCGTCAAAATAAATACACATATAATATATCTCAAAATTGACATAACAAAACATATAACGAGTTGATTTTTTTAATTTTTATTTTATTTTTTAATTAATTTCTTATTATAAACAAAATTCACGTGCCATTATTTAACTTAAAAACGTACTGATAAAATCTTAAAAAAAAAAAATTTAGCCATGATTTTTATTTGTTGGCCATGTCCTTCACTTTTAATTAATTTTTAAGTGTATTTTAGTGCAATAATAGATTGTAATTTTCGTTAGTAAACACATCACAATACCAAGATTTTTTATAGATAATTGTATAAAAATATCAATCACCTTAACTAGAGAAGCCTCAATATTAAAACTCTTTCAAACAAACAAGAAAAGCAAAATCACTAACACACATAAATCCAACTAGACGAGGCAATTGTTGTTGACACGTTGTTTTATGAACTCACATAACCAATTTTTGTTGTATTTTAATGCACTGTAATTAAAAAATATATATTTATAAATTATTTGTAATCTTTATTTTTGAATGATTTAAAATTATAAATATATATCAAACTCTTCGATAATTAAGATATTTAAATAGACTGAAATTTTATTCTCATTCTTACGACATTCTTATTTCTGTCTGAATCATTTCTAACATTTTCTCAGCAAGAAAAGAAAAAAACACTTCCGTGTATTTGTTTTTCAGGAAATTGGAAAAAAAAATAGGCCCATCCTTTATATTGTGGATCGTGGACAACAAAGGCCCATAAGAAGCAGCTGAAGAAAAACGTAAAGGTGGAAGACACCAAGCAAAAGAATGTTCGAAACAGAATATGCTCGAAGAGGTTTTGAACACTAAACTTTATGAAACATATCAATTCCATAATCAGCTGCAAATTTTCAATGATATTATTGCTCGCAAATTTTATCAACCTGTCTTTTTTTTTATGAATTCAATTAAAAATATACTAACAGTATAAATAGTTTTACATTGATTTTTTTTATATATACACTCATTTATGATCATTTTAGTTTTTTAATAATTATTAGTAACAAAAGTTTACGTTTCCAACATTAGATTATTAATATTTTTTAAATTGAATAAATTAATTTTACATTAATGTCGTATACCATTCATTTCAAAGAAGGACCAAAAAAATCATTATTAAGCTATCGATATATAAACCGTAAAAATTGAACTGGTTTCAACCCATTTCTATTTTGCGAAACCATGTTTTATATAAGTTAGTTACTACGTTTCGAGGTTATTTTAAGTGAAGAGAATATTTTTAAATTTTTTCTAAATGAGTAAATTTTAAAATATTAGGTAAGTCAGTAGGATTGCTATTTTTTATATTATAATAATTATTATTATAATCAATAATAATATTTTTATATTATTATTAGCAATAAAATAAATAATAATAATAATAGTTAAGTTTATATTATTATTAAAATTATTAATAATTTTATTATTTTGATTAATATTATATTATTATTATTATTATTATTATTATTATTATTATTAATACTAAGATAATAATCATAAATGTAATATAGTTACAATTATTAGTATTATTATTTTATTAATACTTTTTTATTTTACTATTAATAATAGAACAATATGAGTAATAATATAATTATGTAAAATAAAAATAAAATAAACAATAAGATAATTATATTAATAATAACAATTCTATTATTCTATTATTCTATTATTATTATTATTATTATTTATCATAACAATACATTATCATTAAAAATTTATCATTTGATAACATTAATAAATTTAATTTTTATTTTTTATAATAAAAATAAATATTATTAAAAAACTATTATTAAAATAATAGTATTTATTATTAACAAATTTATTATATTAATTAAAAATAATAAAGTTAATTATTATTATTACTAATTTAATAATATATTATTTAATAATATAAACTTAATAAAAGAATAATACTAGTAATGAATAATTATTCATAAATTTATATTATTATTATTATAATATAAATAATGATAATCAATTTATTTATTACTATTATTATTTATAAAAATATTAATAATATATTACTATTAATAACATAATTATTATTTTATAAAATAATATTAATAAATTATTATTAAAATTAATAACTATTATTAATAATGTAAATTATGTATATTAATAAGAAGTATTAATTTTAAAAATAATATACTTTTAAGTATTATTATTATTATTTAAATGTTATTAATAATTATTCATTATTAATATTATTTTATCATTATAATTACTAAAATAAGAATAATATTAATAAAAAATAACATAATTATAATTATTAATATTATTTTTATTTACATTATTATAATTATATTATTATTATTATTATTATTATATAATATTAATAAAAGCAATGAAATAATTAATAAGTTTAACAATAACATAAAATTAATTGTTATTATTATTATTATTATTTATGTTATTCTTAATAATATAAAATATATGATTATTAATTGTAATAATATAATAATTACTATTATAATCTAAAAATTTGAATTCGTATTAATACGACTATATATATATATATAATTTATATTAGTACATTTTTTAAATAAAATATAAAATTAAACGCTAAAATTATATTATAAAACACGACTTTTTATGTTAAAGTTGTGCATAACATGTTTAAATCCATAATTTTTAAAAAATTTACCCATTTTAATAAATTTACCCTTTACATTAAAAAAACACGTTTCGATCATGCAAGAAAAAAAGTGCAATAAAATTTTAATGCCAACGAAATTACTTTATCAAGGATCATTTCTATGGCCTTTAAAATTGTAAGATACGGTTGCTTACATGTAACGAGTAGCTGTGTGTGTTTAACTTGACTAATAAAGTGCTCGTTATTATAACGAAACATGGTTTTTGTAATGATATTATGTTAGATCTTTGTTAATTAACTGAAAATTGGGCCAACTTTTTTATAATTCTTTATTTTCTAATTAATTTCTATTATTAATAATGAATGTTGGTTTAGTATTAATAATTGTCCAATGTTTATTATTGTCTAATTCATTAACCTCTTGACACTATTTATCCTCTCACACTCTTTTCTCAGTTTTGTAACTCTCATATAATTTATGATTTTTTTTCCCAAACTTAATGATCATTTTATATATTTACTTATACATTTACAATTTTATCATCTAATCCTTTCATTTTCTTTCACCCTTTTATATTTATTTATTATTTTTTTAATAATATATTATTTGCCCCTTGAATCAATGATCAAGATCTGTCATTGATTTTTCTTTAAAGTATTTTTACTCGATTATTATATTATCCAATTCACCCAACTCTATTAAAGTTTATTCATATTGAGTTAGTGATTCACAAACACCATTGATGAACTTAATTGTTAAAAAATTAATTTAGTATTTATTTTTATGTTTTATAATTTTAGAGATTATTATAATAATGCTCCAAAATTTATTAAGATCTACATTATATCCCATTTACGTTAAGAAATTGAGACGAGGAAAGTTAGTAATAAATTTCTAAACATCCTAGGATAGATTATATGAAATGTGATGGTTACTTAGTCACATTATATTATTTATAAGGAGTTGATTGTGAATTTTATATTACTTGGTATTTTTATGTGATTAAATAAGTTCAATTAAATATAGTGAGAAAGATATGTATGAAATATTAGGATATGATAACAATATTTGAATTAGATATAACATATATTTTTAATGAAATGATATAATAAAGTCTCAAGGGATATTGATTAGTGCTTAAAAACTAGTTTAAAGTGCATTTTCATAATTTATTATCTGCATATTTCGTTCAATCACAATGCGCAATAGATATAAGATTTTCTTTTGGGTATATTATCGTTGAAACAAAAAATTTAGTGAGATAAGATTTATTTCGGGTGTATTTTTACTAAAATGACATTTCTCATAAATTTTTCATCCAAATTTTAAAAGTCATAAAAATATTTATAAATTCCAAATTTAACATTTTATATAACCAAACTAAATCACTGAAATATATATATATATATATATATATATATATATATATATATATATATATAACTTCAAATGTTAGAACATAGATTGTGAGTATGAAACAAGATGTGTTGAATGTTATTATATGCATGAAAAAATATTTTATTGTTATGTGAGACCTAGTATGAGATATTCATATATGTATGTTATATGTGTGATAAATTATAAGATGATGTGATGTTTTATGTGTTTTTGATATTAAAATATATCGGTTGAGACTTAGTCAATCTAAAAAAGTGACTCATAGTCGGCTGAAATGTTTGTGGGTACTTATAAATATTCTATGTGGTGAAGTATGTGGGGATATTAAATTAAGATTTGAAGGATATTATCCTTACTCTACTGATAACTGAAATCACATAGATGATGAAAGTTAAAAGAGGTTTTTAAGATTTAGGTTGTGGTGTGAAAAAGAATAAACTATATCAGACAAGTCAAAAATTTATTTTGTCACACGAAGAAATGTGTTATAATTATAAACTTATGTTGGAGATGTTCACTTATGGAAGATAATGTGACAGGTGGAAAATCTCTAAGTCTAATTCAATGTCCAATTTTTCAAAAGTTGTGAGTTTGTGTGACGTGAATTGATATAATGTGATAAATTTAAAATAGATTTGTGTAATGATAATATACGTAAAAATGTATGAAATTGTAATTTTAGAACAAATTTAAATTTAACATGTTTATTTCAAATTAATAACTTACTTGTGTATTTTGTATATTGTTTTCTTTAATTGTGATGATTATATATACAAAAACTGATGATGCAGGTGTTAAACCTTAAGAGGAGTAGGACAAAAGATGATAAGATCTTAAATATTTTTATTAATTTTATATTTTATGATAATTCAAATGTATATAGAAAATTTTCAAGAGATAATATATATTTAAAAAATATCATATTCATATAAATTATATAAATATGATGTGTTTTGAAGATGTTATAATTTTATTCTTTCACAATTTGTATATCTTTTTCAATTTTTTTTGCTTCTACTAATTTACTTGTAGTAGATTATTTGAAGGAGGAGATTTGTGAGAATATTTATTGATTTGCTTCTACTTATTTAAGTGAATTTAGGGTGATGGGGAGTTGAATCCCCTACGTTCACAAATCTACTATGAAACAATAAGAAATAACGAGAAAGTGGGTAATTGAGTAACAAATGTCTGAATTATCTTTATTAATTTTTCTCTTTGCATGACTATCTAATTAATTCATGTTGGCTATGTCAACAACCACATCAATGTAATAAATAATATATAATAAATGACCATTGTAACTTGTAAAGTGAAGAAAAACATGTGAATCCATAATATTTCAAGTTTATTTTCTAATATAAACTTGTTTCTTTGAGTTTCTTATTTACAATTATATTGCATTTTTTAAAGTAGCATTCTAATATAAACTTGTTTCTTTGAGTTTCTTATTTATAATTATATTATATTTTTTAAAATAACATCCATGTCTTCCTCATCTTTTATTTTCTATCTAATTTATTCATTCTACGTAATTTGATTATTAGACCAAAATACTATTATCCAATTATTTTATATTTAGTTACATTAGGTACAGTAAATCCATTCAACTTCTTTCTTATTTATTATCATTCTTTCCATCCAAACAACTTTACAAATCTATTTAAAGTATCTCAGATGCACTGCTGAAATGCCCGCCCCAGTCCAAACAAAATTAAAACACAAGCTTAATTTTTTACAAATAAGTATAAGTAACAAATATTAAAGTTTTCCTACTCACAGTTGTTTGCATCTAGATATTACCAATCTAAAACATAGATTCTACCACTACCATAACATATACTATTCAATATACTTTTTAAAAATAATTGGAAATATCTAATTATTTTTAATCAAAACAATTGAATTTTTATATTTTAATTGTCACTGTTTCTCATCCACTTAACTAGTAAATATTGCATTAACATCGTTTAGAAAAAGTAAAAAGCTTAATTTTTTTTTAGGTGAAAACTATTAAGTTCATTTATTAAATAAAGGAATGAAGTATTTGATAAAAAATATTTAACTATTGCATTGGTTCATAATTATAATATATATATATATATATATTATTTTTTTTTAATTGGATACCATTGTTGTACGGTAGGCAGTGGTAGTGCAGGGGTTCGGATTGAATTGAATAATGTGGTGTGAAATAAATATTCATTGTGAAGATGAGGCTTTGCCTTGTGCTTTCGTACTTGTTGAAAAAGGGAAAAAGATTATGTTTTTGAGTTATTTTTTAAAGTAGGATTGGAAAAATGATGATAAGGATAAAATAAATTAATAATATAAGTTAAAATTTAAGTTTTATTTCAAATATTTTATAAAAGTTTTATAAACTAGACTAATTATTAAAATACACAGACTGCTATATCAATATATTAATAATGATAAATAAATGCGTATCTCTTTATAATTTATTATGTCTATGTGATTTGTTTATCCAGATGAACTATAAATTATTTTAAAATCATTTTTTACCCCAATAAACTTAATTATATAATAGATTATTTCAATAATCGATTATCAAAATAAAATATTTTTTACAATTGTCGCGGTTACACACTCACTAATTTTTTTCTAATAAAATAACTTTATAGACTAATTACGTCATAAATCAATTTAAATAATATTCATATATATTCTTGGTAAAAGAACGGTTGTTAACATTATTCATATTTTATTCAAGATATTTAGAGAATACTAATTATTTAATCAATAAGAAATAAAATACAAATAAACACCTTAAGATCTTAGTTAAGAAATTAAGAATATATTTAATAAAGTCCTAGCTTAATTTTTAACGTATTTTAACACAATTTATGATGTATATTTTACTCGGACCATTATTACGAAGGATTAATTAGAAATTGGCAACAGTGGCTACTAGGCGGTTAGAACCGTAAGCCTCCTTGACCTTTGTTAACCTATTATCCAATTATCATCTTCTTAATCCCCGTAATTTGGTGTCCCAACAACAATTAAATAGAGTAATAATAAAATAAAATAAAATAAAGAAAAAGAAAAGCTGAATTGAACGATTCGATTCAAATGAACGTTGAACATTCCTTCACTACCGTCTCATGTTCCCATTCTTTCTTTCTGTCTAATTCCAACTTCAAAGCAACTCAACATTTTGAATACCAAGTTCCATCGCGTCACAATCTTCTAACATCTTATTTTTCTCTCTCTTTGAAGCAGAGAGAGAGAGAATGAAGCTCTCGGCGTGGCAGCAGAGCTACCTCAACCGCCGGAGCAACAGTTTCAGAGGACAGTTGGACACCTCCGGCGAATCCGCCGGCATGTCTCCGCTCACCACCTTCTGGTTCCTCCTCCACTCCGCCTTCTGCCTCATCAGCGTCGTTCTAGGTTTCCGCTTCTCCCGACTCGTCTTCCTGTTCTTCTTCTCCGCCGCCTCCACCAACTTCTCTGCATTCCGCGGCGGCGAAATCTCCGCTCCGCTCGTAATGCATTCTTCCCTCGCCACGAACCCGATCAAAACCATCGCCAGTCCGGCAAACCAGACCGGCGGCAGCCGCGTGCTGGTTGGGCGGCACGGGATCCGAGTCCGGCCGTGGCCACATCCGAATCCCGAGGAAGTTATGAAGGCGCACCGAATAATCGAGAGAGTTCAGAGGGAGCAGAGGGCGCTGTTCGGAGTGAAGAAAGCGAAAACGATTGTTGCAGTCACGCCGACACACGTACGCACTTTCCAGAAGCTGCACTTGAGTGGCGTGATGCACTCGCTGATGCTCGTGCCGTACGATGTCATTTGGATCGTGGTGGAGGCTGGACGAGTCACCAACGAGACTGCTTCCATCATCGCCAAGTCAGGACTCAGAACCATCCACGTTGGTTTCAATCACCGAATGCCGATTTCTTGGGACGACAGACACAAATTGGAGGCTCAAATGCGCCTTCGTGCCTTAAGGTCAATATTTCTGCTTTTCTTCATCCAAATTCTAATGCTTATATTTTCAACTTGTCAAGTACTGTTTTCCCGCTAATTGGCGCATAAGTAATTTCTCCACTTAAAAGGCAAACCAATTAAAAGCAATTATAAGAAAGAATTTACTGTCTACAATAGTACTGGCTCAAGGAAAATTGTCTGTGTGGTGAATACTTGTGCTTTTTAACCAAAAAAGGTTAAAAGCAAATTGTACTGGAGTGGTTTGAAGATTTAATTTGTTGTTAAGTAAAATGTATCATTGATTTGTTGTGTGGTGGAATAGGATTGTGAGAAAAGAGAGGCTGGATGGAATTGTGATGTTTGCGGATGATAGCAATATGCATAGCATGGAGCTGTTTGATGAGATTCAAAGTGTGAAGTGGATTGGTGCAGTTTCGGTTGGAATTCTTGTTCATTCAGGTGGTACGGAGGAATCTTCCTCCTTTCAGGGAGAGGAGGAGACCCCACCATTTCCGGTGCAAGGTCCTGCCTGTAATGCGACCAATAATCTGGTTGGGTGGCATACCTTTAATTCATTGCGCTATGCTGGAAAAAGTGCAGTTTACATAGATGATCCGGCACCTGTGCTACCTAGGAAGCTTGAGTGGGCTGGGTTTGTGTTCAATTCTAGGTTGCTTTGGAGGGATCTCGATGATAGGCCACAATGGATTAAGGATCTTGAAGTATTAGATGGGGTTGATGAGGATATAGAAAGTCCACTGTCTCTGCTCAGGGACACCTCCGTGGTTGAACCACTTGGAAGTTGTGGACGCCATGTTTTGCTTTGGTGGCTGCGGGTTGAAGCTCGCACAGACAGCAAATTCCCTGCTCGGTTAGTCCTTTTCTCTTAATTACCCACGATTTACATTGAAACAACTTACTTGATTAGTGCAACAAAATAATACTTAAGCATTCTCTAGGGGGCACACACACACACACACACACACACACATATATATATATATATATATATATGATTCTAAGATTATATACGAATAGTTTTCTGCTAGATACATCTTTTAACACGTGCTCATGCACACACATATTTGTGAAATCTCAGACTATTCGTTACCTACCTTCCTTTGTTTTTTCTTGGTTTTAATTTTTTATTGACTGGTTTGTTATTCTGAAATTTTAACTTGCCACGTGCTAAAAAACTGAAGTCTTTTTTGTTTCATTTCTGATGGAGACTTTGGAAGGCTCTTGGAGTTGATGAGCCGACTATTCAAACATTGCACCATGGATCCTTTGGTTCTTTGGAGGGTTGTGCATAAGGATGGGTTTGCACACTGAACCAATTGGGTTCGCTTAAGGATGGGATTTTGATGTTTCTTAAACTGGGTTGATTGTTCTTTAATAGTGTTTGGCTGGGTATTGAAACTTACAACACAAGCTATCTCTTGAAACCTGAGATGGACACGGGTTTTTGGGTTATGGTATGGTCACGAAGTTCATTTGGCTTGGGCAAGTTGGATGGGATGGAGGGTGGTGTGGTGGTTTATTTTATGGTCGCTCTTGGTGATTAAAGATGTTGCTGGCCGTGCAAGGACAGAATCAAGAAGCAAGACCAAAGAAGAAAGAAGAAGTTAGGAGAGGAAAATGAAAGAATTAAGACAAAGATTACCTTTAGTAAGGTTTTTGTTGAAGCTAACCAAGAAAGAATCGAGAATCTTAGAGAGCTCCTAGGTGCCACTCAAAAGAAGATAACCAAAGGAGAGGGTTCCCCACTTGAGAATCCACTTAAGAAAAGAACTCCTTAGAAGAAAATAACTCACTTAAGCACTCTGGGCTATAACTATGAAATGATTTCAATCTGAGTTAGAGCCAGAGTTCACATGATTTCAATCTCTCAGTTATGAAATGACTTGGGCGTGGAAGGAGTGATAGGAAACTCCCCTTACCCACCCTTGTATTTAAACAAGAAAGAAAGAAGACCCTTGTATCTAAACAAGAAAGAAAGAAGTCTACATAACAAATAGCTAAGCTATCTAAACAAAGGCTTATTACAAGAAAAACTACTTTTTATTATTTCTAAATTCTTGAGAACATCCTTCTCTTTATCTTCATCTCCACTTGTCAATCTTCTTTCAAAATATTATTGAAGTTAATTCTTTTTATCCATAATCACATCAATTTCTAAATTTTCTCTAGAAGATATATTATTATACGTACATTCCTGTGTTTTATTGGTTTCTGTTTCATTTACTTGTTGTGCTTTCTGGCTTCTGTAGCAGTTAGTATCTACCAGCTAATACCCTCAGAAACTGAAGTCATTTCTCAAATTTCGTGGCATCATTTTTTTGCTTCCTTAAATCTACTTTGGACCCTCCCTAAAGAATAATATATTTATGGCTCATTTCAATCAGATCCATATGGATCTAAATTGTAGTGTGTCATCCAGCAAATAAAACTCTGTTCATAATAGGATGGACCTAAAGAGGCCCAAAAGAAGGACAATTGAGTGGTCCTAAGATCATTTTAGGTGGAATTAATGTATATTATAAATTGTAGTTTTATTTTATATCTCAAAATAATATGATCTTGACACATGGCTAATTATTATCCATTGGTTAACATCCTTAAGACTATATAAATGTATTCCTCTGTCAGGAAAATCAGACAATCAATGAAATATTTCAGTAATTAATTTTAGTCTTTATTTCTTATTTTCTCGTACCTAATTTTAGGAGTAGAAATAGTTTCCTCAGTCGTCTATCAGTTCATATCTTCTCAAAACTTTAGATTATCATGTTTTCTGATGAGCATTTCCATGACCATTTGATTCAATTTCATGCAGATGGATAATTGACTCTCCTCTGGACATCACAGTCCCATCAAAACGCACTCCACGGCCAGATTCTCCTCGTCATTTCCCAATCAACGAAAAAGAGCTAACTAACATACAACAACATACGACTAAGCATTATACAAAGACCAGAACATCTAGATCCAGGCACACTCGAAGTAAGAGAAGGCATGATGCCAAAGTGATAGGTGTGAAAGTCTCTACACATTCTGAGCAAAACTGAGATGTCAACAAATGCATTTTAGAAATATACTGCCTCGTGAATACGGACCTGTTGTTCTTCGTTAACAAGAATTTCGGATTGAACAAACGAAGAAGCTCATGTTCTCTTACAGGATAGGATACTACGGTGGAACAGCCTATGTGCATTCGAGTCTGATTTCACCATTTTGTTTTTATATCGGGTTTTTTCTCATTTCTTTTGAGGGGGTGATATATATTCTGTTCGCATGAAAGTCAGTGTCAACGTTGTTCTGATAGCATTTCCTTTATCGGATGAAGCTTGTATAGTTTTGCTTCAATCTTTTCAATCCAATATAATATCTTCTTCATAGAAATATATCCATAGACGCCTGTCTTTTCTTTCTTTACATTTTTCCTAATTTCTATTTTGATCCTCTTGTTTTACCCCCCAACATTTAGATTTCATTCCTTCTAGGCATAATAGAGCTACAGGGCTTGTACGTGTCGAATTATGATTTTAGCACTAGTCGTAACCCTTAACTTCTTAGTAAAACAACAGTATAAACTGATTATGTCGTTTCATACCATTTCATAAAATCGGAAATCACTGTCCAATTAATGATACGTATTCAACATAATGACATTAGTTTACATTATTCTTATTTTTTTTAAAATATAATCACAATTATTATCTGTATTGAATTCCAACTTATCTTTAACTTATCCTTTTCTTGCAATCAATTAAAAGTTATTATAAGGAAATTGCTATTATCAGCCAAACCAAATATTTTATAATATGGCAAAACGAGGTTTAAGTACATGTTATAAACGTGATTACACATTTAATATCCGGTCATATGGAAATATATCAAGACTGAAAGGAGAGTACTAGTAAAAAGAAAAAATAAATACGATAGTTTTACATTTCTTTAAGTCGAATGATCGACTAGTATACATAATTAATTTATTCTTTTATTCTCGTATAATTTAATCAAGATTGTCTATATTCGTATTCATTGACCAAGTGACATATTATTTGTGAGCATCGATGATGAAAACCAATTAATGTTGTTGACATTATCTTACAGTGTAATTCCAGTGTAAAACAATTATCACACTATCTCTTCATGAGATATTATTAGTAATGTTACAATGAAGAAGAAAGAATAATGAATGCATTATTTTGGATCAATAAACTCAATTGTATAAGGTAGTGAAAAGTTTTTTTTTTTAAGTCACGTGTACAAGACTATCACTTTAACATAACAACAAATAAAGTGTTGGTAACAACTTATTTCTTATAATACAAAAGCTATTTTTTAACTGTAATATCCATCTCAAGTTAGGTGGTATATGTTTATTAAACTCAACTTGAGTATATTTTCAACAAAGGTGTTTGATACAATACAAAGACTTAGTAAAAACATTGACAAGTTGATGTTTAGAGGGAACATGAGAAAGGACAATGAATCCTTCAGTGAATTTTGGTACCAATAAGATGATAACCCACCTTAATATGCTTTGTACGCTCATGGAAAGATGAATTATTTGCTAATTGAATGATAAACTGATTGTCACAAAAAGTAGATCCGACAAAAAGATGTTCAGAGAAAGATCATCTGCATTATATTTGAGCCATTGAAATTTACAACTACAGTGGTAAGAGCCTTGCATTCAGTCCTAGTAGAGTTACAAGAAACTATGTTATATTTTTTGGACTTTCAAGAAATGAGGCAATCACCATAAAAAATATATAATAACCTATTATGGATCGACGTATAATGTTACAGGTGACCTAGCCTGAATCAAAGAAGACTTGAAGTCTGTGAGAATTTCGAACTGAATAAAAAAGGTTCTGTCTAGGGGCATTCTTTAGATATCGTAGAATTCAAAAAACAACATTTAAATGAGAGCTTGTAGGAGCTGCCATGAACTGACTTATTTGTTGCACAACAAACTTATGTCTGGTTGTGTGTGAGTAAGGTACAACAAGTTTTCAATTAATCTGCAATAATTGGTTGAATTCAATGAGAGGATCTCCATAGGTTTCATTTAATTTGACAGAAGAATTGGTGGGAGTTGGGTCAAGTTTATAACCAGTTAAACCAAACTCATAAAATGCCAAGACAGTACTTTTGTTGATTGAGAGTTAATCCTCATTTAGAACAGACAACCTCAAATCCCAAGAAATACTTCTAGTCACCAAGGTCATTTATATGTAATTGAGAGTGAAGATAAAATTTGATATGTGTGATAGTAGTGAAATTATTACTAGTGATCACTATGTTGTTGACATAGACAAAGAGGGCAATAAAAGAATCAGGAGTTTGTTACACAAATAAGGAGTAATCGACTGTGTTTTGAGTGAATCCAAAATTAAGTAAGGCAGTTGTAATTTAGCATTCCACTGTCTGCTTGTTTATCTCAATCCATATAAGGATTTGTGAAGTTTGCAAACTAAAGAAGGAAGTTGTAGACTAGGTGGTGACTTCATGTAAACCTCTTCATCCAACTTTCCATGTATAAAAATATTATCAATATCTATTTGATGTAAAAACAACCAAAGGGGATAACAATGAAAAGAAGAAACAAAACAACAGTTTGTTTAATCACAAGAGAAAAAATTTCAAAAAAATCAACCCTCTCTGTTTATTTGAAACCCTTTGCAACAAGTCTTGTTTTATATCGTTCTATAAAACCATTTGCTCTGAATTTTGTATGATATACCCATTTACAGTCCACAACTTTCTTTCTCGTGGAAAGTTTACTAATGACCAAGTCTTATTTTTCTCAAGAGCTCCTATCTCATTAATCATAACTTTCTGCCAACAATCGAATTGACTTACTTCTTTAAAGAATGTAGGCTCAAGTGTACCAAGATTACTGAATGACTCATTGTCCTTTTTTGTATTCCCTCTAAACATTAGCTTGTCAATGTCTTTACTAAGTCTTTGTATCCAATCCCTTTGCTGAAAATATATCTAATTTGGGCTTAATAAACATACACCACCTAATTTGAGAGTGTATATTACTGGTAGGAAATAATTTTTGTATTATAATTTCTAATTTGATACTATATTAATATTATGATATAGATAAAAGAATAAAGTCTGCATTATTTTGTATTAATGAACTCAACTGTCCAAGACAATTTTTTTATAAAGCTATATTTACAAGATTGACTTTAAAAAAAATGGTAATAACTTTATTTCTTATAACAGAACAACTATTTTTTAACTGTAATAGATATGCTTAATAAATTATATTCTAGAATTATTATTAGCATAAAAAGGATAAATGGATATAAAACACTTATTAAAAATAAATAAATGTACATTTAGGTAAAAGAAAAAATGAAAAATATAATAGGAAAAGAAAAGAAAAATATTGAAGAATTAAGTTTTTAAAAATAAAATTTAAACATTGCTTTTAAAAAAATTAAAAATAATAAAATAATTTTCTATTTATATGATATTCATATTTTTTTCATTAATAATTATATTATGCTGTCCATCTTTATTATTAATAATTATTAATATCGTTTTTTATTTTATTATAATTTTTTATTGTGATCAATATTATTTTTTATTTTAAAAAATAAATATCAAACAAATTTTATTTTAACTTATTTAAAAAAAATTAGAAAATCAATTTAAAATTAAATCAAGCAATTTTCTAATATTTTGGATAGATTAAATAATCATAGAAGTATCAAGTTTATTTGGTGAATCTTTTGCATGGTACACCGTAATACACGTCTAACTTAATCCAAAATCTCCTATTTGACACATGTTACAAACTTTAACATTATATAGTATAACAATTTGCTTATCTTTTTAATTGAGTTCAAATATTATTTTAATTTATGTTAAATCATAAATTAAATTAAATTATCTTCTTTGTTTATCTTATGATGAAATTCATGTTATTTGAATCAAATATTTCATTCCACATTAATACCATCTACTCAACTGTGATTTAGAAACGTTATTCTATTTCGTTTTAACTCTCTGCATATCTTAAAATCATGATTTGATATATTAAAATTATACTTGAATTTTTTTATAACATTGATCAATATTTTAGCTCAATCACATGACATGAAGATTCAAAACAATTTAGAATATATGTTTCTCGGGACTAGTTTAACACAATTAAGTATTAATGGATTCAATGAATGTCTCTTTAAGAAGTTTTAGTATTCATCATTAAAAAAAATCAAGAAACTCGTAATTATTATTTATTATTTTTAACAATATGGAATGTCCTCTAAATACTTAAATATATTCATGTTATATAACTTTTGAATGGGAGCTATTTAAAAAAAAAAAAGGTTTTATCATAACTAATAATTTTAATTTATAGTTTAATTTCCCAGAAAAAGTACATTATCTTAAAAGATAAATAAGAATAAGAAAGATTAATTTTAAAAATTTTGAATTATATCATTCCCATCTCAGTGTTGAGTAGCCTGCATCTGCATGTGATATACAATAAATGAGATGACATGTATTTAAAGTGTATATATTTTTTACTTTGATATTATTATTTTTTTATCAAGATTCAGTTCATTAACTGCAGAGGATATCTAAATTGAATGGTTGGTAGGTTTAGTTGTACTTTATTTTATTCTGCTTATATTTTAAAAAAAAAAAAACTATCCAAAATGATTTTATTCGTAAGTAATTATCTAGAAATGAAGTTTATGATCAAATAAACAAGAAAACTGTTCCAAGAAACTCTAAAAAAAAAAAATAATAGCGAAAGTGGGTTATACAATGCATCTTTCAAGAATGAGTACATAATAGTGCACCAGTCTTTATATCAGTACATATTAAAGTTAACCTTTTTTAAGACTCTTCGTTCATGGGTTCAGTTTGGACATCTTCAAATAACCCTTCTAATAACTGGTTTTGAGTAAGATAAAAGTTGAAGGTTATATTAAAAGAAAGGATTTTGTTAAGAAAAAATATGACTTCAAAAAATTGTATAAACCATAAGAAAGTAAAGCAGCAAATGACCTTAAAAGGGACATAGATCTCAGCCAGATCCATGTAGTAATGTTCTGAACAAACTTATGGCTAATTCAATGAATGAGATGGTGCTGCAGAAGAGTTAAATGGACCAATAATTTTTGAAGAAAATATCTATATACACACACAAATTGTGATACCTTGCAAATATTTAAATGATATGGAAGGAGATAAAATATTAGAATCATTGAATTGTTTTGAAGATAAGGGAGTTTTTTATTTGGAAAGTCAGGGGAGCCATGCCCATGAATGAGTTCCCAAGTGTTTGCAAGTTGGGCAGTAATATATCTGTGATTCTGAAACTGATCCATACTTTCTGAGTTGCAACTGTCACATGCAGATGCAATCACACTCCAAATGCAACTTGTGGATATGATATGAATTGTGCCCCTTGCTAAGGAATCCCAATTGCTTTTCAACACAACTTATCTGCATATCACAACTCAAACCAACAACCTTTATCTATCTTCCCATTCTTTCTGCATAAACAACAAAAGAACAATTAATTACTTCTCTCCACAACCAACAACCCAAAGTAAAAAGGTGCAAAGGTTTTCACTGGCTTTACTTTTTACTAAGCTTAGGAATATGAAACTAAAAGTAGGGATTCATTCCCTTCATTGCTAAGGCTATGTCATTACACATACCATCAAACCCTAGATAATTAATCAATTTTTTTAAGATAAAACAAGTGGGTCAAGATTTTGTAGAGTTAAAACTGGATCTATTCCGTAAATGATATTTGGTTCCTAAGTGCAATTTAGCAATTTTAAACCCTACAATAAAAAAAGTACTGATCGTGCACCTGAAATACACACTGAAAAGGCTAAAGCTTGGAGGTAGATTAACTCCAAAGTAAAGGGAATCCTTTTTTTGGAAGAAAACATGGCAATGTTTAATTTCAACAACGCAAATAACATTAGCCATTGTCACCATCTTCCTACATATAATGAAAAAAATTATCAATTCTTTACTCACATAAGAAGAAAGGAATTTTGCTACTTTGGTGCTAATATTCAAAACATCTCTATATATTAAAAGACAGTTTTAATTTAAACAACATTAAAATAATTCACATTTAATGTTATCGCATTTTGGGACATTTTCTTGTTTGGGCCTTTAGCTCCTCACAAAAGAAAAACATGGAGTTTTTATTTATTTATTATTAAAATAGAGTTACTTTTCATAATTTTATACTTTAGAAGAAATATAAAATGAGATTCCAACTCTCAGGTCTGTTTAAAATTACTTCATTCATTTAAAATGATTGTTCAAATCAAATAACATTTTACTAGTACCTTTCATGCTTTTAATAGAAAAACATTAAATTAGAAAGTGTAAGAACATAAAAATAACCAACGTACACTTTAGTAAAAAGTTTATATATAACCTAATAATTGACTGACTATTTTAAGAAAAGGTACTAACTTTTATAATCAATCATCCTAATTATTGAACTAACGAAACTCAAAATACACTATCATTTTATAAATATATTTTCTAATTTTATTGTTATAGAAATATTAAGAGATAAAAATAAATTAAAGTGTTATTTACAATTTTTCTGAAATAAAAGAATACTTTAATTTTAAAGTAAAGAATCTTAAATTACAGGTGTATAAATATAACATAAAAAAGGGTGCATATGAAATGCGTTTAAAATATAAAACGTGTATATCTAAAATTAAAGGAAAACAAAATATAATGTTTTTTATTTGTGTAGAATTTTAAAAATATTAAAATATCAATTTAATTTAAGAATATTAGCGTAATTTACTCTAGAATAAAACGACACATGAAAGATATATACACCCCCTCAGCACTTATAAGCAAAATTGACTAATTTTACACGTATTAAAAATGGTAGTTAGGTTGATTTAATATATATTCTCAATTTCTATAGCATCTGAATATATGCTTTAAATTATCTTTAATCATATTTATAAATGGTTCTTATAATTAATAGGAGGATATTTCTGAAATAAATGTTTGAGAGTCGGAATTTGTTTATAATAATTGAGTATAACAAATATGATTTTTTTTAAGTATAAATGAGTTGTGGAGGAAACACTATCGTATTATTTTTTTAATTGTTAGAAATTATTCATGGTTTTTAGTGAACAAAAATAATTATACAACATGAATTTAAGCTAAGTAAGTGTCTCTATCCAGGCCATTTCAATTATTCATTCTCAGTGCCCACGTGGTGTGGCAGTTCTCTTTAATTGCGTGACACAAACAAATCTATCTATTCATTCACCATTTCCCTAACTTTAGTTGCTTTTAGATTCTTCAATCCCCTTCAAATATTGATCAATTTTCTTCCATTAAAAAAAAAAAAAAAAAAACACGATTTTCTCCCTCTATATAAACTCACCACTCCGTGTTCTTCTTCATCAACAACCATTCAACCTTCAACCTTAGTTTCAGTTCAAAACTTGTGCACCCTTCTCTCCTCTTCCACACACCAAGCATGGCTTCTTCAATGGCCATTATACCCACCCTGCTCTTCCTTTCCCTCACTCTGTCACATGCTACGGACACGCCCATCGTGAAATACTCAGAAAAAGAGGTGATGGGGATGTACGAGGAGTGGTTGGTGAAGCAGCAAAAGGTGTACAATGGGTTGGGAGAGAAGGAGAAGAGGTTTGAAGTGTTCAAGGACAACTTGGGATTCATACAAGAGCACAACGCTCAGAACAACACATACACGCTTGGGTTGAACAAGTTTGCTGATATCACCAATGAGGAATACCGTGCCATGTATTTGGGCACCAAATCTGATGCCAAACGTAGGCTCATGAAAACCAAGAGCACCGGTCACCGGTATGCCTACAACTCCCGTGACCGGTTGCCGGTGCATGTGGATTGGAGGTCCAAAGGCGTTGTTGCTCCGATCAAAGATCAGGGAAGTTGTGGTAAGTTTTTTTTTTTCTTCCTATAATTTGGCCTTTACATTTGGTAAAAATAACGTTTGATAAGGAAAGTTTGCTAAGGTTACTTATCAGTTAAGGACTCGCTTTAAACTTGGTTCTAATAACTTTAATACACTTCAATTTTTTAACCATATAAATAACTTACTTGATTTTTGGAAATTTAGGTAGATTATGAGAAATAATATAAATTAAAGAAATAAAATGAAGAATAATATAAATTAAAAAAAAATATTTACTATAATTATTTTTAGTGAATGTGTAATTTTTCAATTACATGTTTTATCATCAAATTAAAGTGGCGTATCTTATTCTTTTAAAGATAATAAAATTAAACGAAAATATTTTAATTTAATGTGCGTTAGTAGATTTTTATGGGTTTATATTTTCGTTGACGGGATATATTATTTAACGAGTGCTTGATATTTTCTAATGCAAACTCAAAAATACGTTTATTGGATAAAATTACTAAAAGCCTATATTTAATTTATTGGTTAGAAATACTAAAAACCTATATTTAATAAAAATCATAGTTGAAAATTGTCATCTTAAATTTCAATTGAGAGTATATATGCTACTAAAATTGGGTTTACTGAGATATTTCTTATCTATACTTGAATGACGCAGGAAGTTGTTGGGCCTTCTCAACAGTAGCCAGTGTGGAAGCTATAAATAAGATAGTGACAGGGAAGTTTGTGTCCCTATCAGAACAAGAACTTGTGGACTGTGACAGAACCTACAATGATGGATGCAATGGTGGCCTCATGGACTACGCATTCCAGTTCATCATTGAAAATGGTGGCATAGACACAGACGAAGATTATCCATATCAGGGTTATGACGGCACTTGTGATCCAACTAAGGTCACTGTACCAATCTTTCAAAACCCCTTGCTTCATATATTCAACTCAATAATTGATTTGTTTCTAATGATTTGAGTGGTTTATACATGTACAGAAAAACGCCAAGGTAGTCCAAATTGATGCTTTCGAGGATGTTCCAGCATATAACGAGAATGCCTTAAAGAAAGCTGTTGCTCATCAACCTGTCAGCGTTGCTATTGAAGCCTCTGGCAGGGCTTTGCAACTTTATCAATCTGTAAGTATAGTCTTTAAATGTTACACAATGATTACTACATTGATGTTGATTAGAGAGTATTTTCTTAAGTTGGTATGTGCAACGTAAGAATGTGTGAGCAGTGTGCAAATTTTTAATTTTATGAGAAGCTTGAAACGAGGAACTATTACACAAGGTCCAACAATGTTTAACTGTCACATGTACATGCTTAAAGTTATCTGATTTTTTTCCAGGGTGTGTTTACTGGTAAATGTGGAACAAGCTTAGATCATGGTGTGGTGGTTGTTGGATATGGGTCTGAAAATGGTGTGGATTACTGGCTGGTGAGGAATTCGTGGGGCACTGGATGGGGTGAGGATGGCTATTTCAAGATGGAGCGGAACTTGAGAAGCACCTCCAGAGGCAAGTGTGGAATTGCAATGGAGGCTTCCTACCCTGTTAAGAATGGCCTAAGCTCTGTTGTTCCTAGTTCAGTTTATGAAAGCACTGTGGCGTCTGTTAGCAGTGCCTGAAGTACCTTGATCATTATTTTGGCATTGGACCCTTGGAATCGGGAAGAGAAACGAGTTCTAAAGTTGCAAGAAAGTGATATGTCTGTTATCTTATATTCTGCTATTGGATATACCTGTTGGGCTATTCTTGTACATAGATTTCTTCAGGTTAAAACTGAGCCTTGATTATCAATTTGTACTGTTTCACTCGTTATTCCATTTGAATGTTTAATCTGAAATCCTTAATGATATTAATGTTCTAGTTATATTTCTGATATGGATATTAACTGTTTTTCATGAATGACCCTTGTATATATTTGTTCTTCAATATTAAAAACTCAATCCAATGTTAGATATTCACTAATCAGAACCTCATGGTTCATGCTTTGATACTACCAGGTTGGAAAATATCACGGTGCTGGGCCAAGTAAAATTTCAATTGAAACGTAGGAAAAGTAAGCCTTTTGAAGAACATTTCTAATGACGACCCGAGGCACTGATCTACAATTAAGCTAGGAGGGGTGTACCTAGTATATTGCAGTCGCTACCTTTCTAAAATTTCCTAAAGACTATTAATCAGCATGAAAGATATATTTCATGCTGCTAGGCACATATTTAAATATATGACAATAAGTTTTAAAGAATACGATTAAAATGACCAAGATTTAAATTGCCATCATGAATAATAAAATTTTGTGTCCAAGTCAAAAAGCTTTTTCAGACTTTAGCATTACGTATCAATTAACTAAATTAGTGATATTATAACTTGTTTAGCGATAATGTTAGTTTAAAGCAACTTCAGTAATTTTTAGGGTGTTTCACTTATTTAGACATGTTCTAGATGATTAGACTTCTTGTATATATTAATAAGTTAGATGTTTAGGATGTTCCCTTATTTACACATGATGTAAATAGTTAAACTTCTTTTACATGTCAACTTCAAAAAACCTACTTAGTGTACTAACTTGATAATGGAATATGTTCCAACGAACTAGGTTACCTAACCGACCCCTATGTTGAGTTTTGTATACGGGGTCTCTTTAGAAATTCAACAATAAACCCTTTTAATACAAGTGAGACCTAATAGAGACGGAGAAACCCGAAAACTCCTTAATGACTTCATTGTCATGGAAATTGCAGGAATGACATTTTGCCTTTATTACTATTTTGGTGCTTTGTATTTTAAAACCATAAACGAAAATGCCTGGTGCACAATCCTTCAGTGAAACCATGGGTGTTTAAATTCTAACTCGAATGAAAAACTCTGAAAACATTTTAGGTACTTGTGAAAATAAATAAATCAATGAGGTTAACTTGTAAAAACATTTAGATGCACGGGGTAGTTTGAACTACATGAAAATTCTAATTTGTTTCATTTAATTTTCCTATTGATGAGCTTATTTATAGAAATTATACTTCCTAGACATCATATTGGTTAAAAACTCAACATATATACGCAACATAAAAAGACAATTCGGTATAAGCGCACTGCATGGTATAAGGAGATTTCATTTCATTCTATATAAGCTATCTAAAACTAGCCGTTTCACTACAAATTCGGGAACCAGAGGCATTTCCCACCTATATAGAAATACAAATAAAGAAAATGGAATTGAGTAAAGAAAGAGCCCTCAAGAAACTACAGTTATATCTTCCTAAATTGGATCTTATAGTAGGGTCTAAAAATATCCAATACGCCAAAAGTCTAAACAATTTGCTCAAATGGGAATCAGACATCCCATTGACCACACAAGACCTCAAGCAACTTTCTTCAACTTCCATCACATCCTCAGATTGGTCCAACTGTCACAAATATATACAGCAAATAATATCAAGCCACATGTTGATCTGTTACCTAAATTAAGCAAATAAAGTTCAACTAACCTGAAAATTTCAGTCCTCTGAAAGGCTTGTGCTTTCAGGTGATGCTCTCTTTCCATCATAGCGCTACAAGTTAAACAAAATAAAAAAAAAAATGTTTACCATAAGAACCAAAACTGTAATGACGTTAAAAACACAAAAATAATACCAAGCCAACAACACTTTTGACGATTATTTACCTGTTTTCCAGATGAGAAGGGTAAATATTTGTATTTAATCATGTGAGATATCTGTCTCCTCATTGTAAGTGTGAATAGGACCACCCAGTAGAAGAGGAGTATTGGCCAGAACACTGGAACATCAAACGCACTAAAGAAAGTCATCACAAATGCAACGCAAAACGCCTTTGTGATTGAGTACCTGTTCACACAGGAAACTTAAGCAGCTTCAGCAGAAGCAACATCTGTATGTCAAAATCCTGAAGGTAAATGCATAAAGAGACAGGTGAACAAAGAACTTCTACTACAACTTGGAAGCACAACACCCGACGAGAAACCCGTAGATGTCACACATAAAATGCAATTCTGATTTGCAGCATTTCTCAACAACTCATTATTTTTGGGACTGAAAATCCAGATTTTTTTTACCAGAACTGACAGATCAATCCATTTGCTCATTTCACGTGTCTGTTCTTTTAGCTTCACACATGACAAGATTTTAGAAAACGGTCCACAGCAGTGATTTTGGCCACAACCTCCAGGTTTTGGAGGTGTGCCCGACACAATGCTACCGCAATTGCACCCACAGTAGCATTTCTCTATAATTTTCCGTAATATCAAGAACAAGACGAATTTGTGACTGCAACTGCAATCCAACACCTTGATATTTAACAACAATCTCTTCCAGATAACCCAACTTTTCTGCACTAGCTTCCATGTGCCACTGACCAAGTCTGGGGTAGGGGTGAGAGACTGGTGCTGCTTCCTCTTAAGTAGTCATTATTCTATTGATTCCTTGACTTAGAGTGTCAAAAATTTCTGCGTGTGGTCACCACTCACCTCCCCTTCACCCAACCTCGAAAAAACAGCACCATTCTCATCCTTAAACCGCACAGTCAACGCCGCATGGAAGCTAGAGCAGAACACCAACCATTATTATACAAAATATCACAGTTTGTTTCATTTCTCTCTTTTTTTCTTTTTTTTCATTTTATCGAATGTCATTCCAGAAATTTGACCACAAATAAACATATAATAATAATAATAATAATAATAATAATAATGAAAAAATATATTGTATCCTCAAAGGAATTGAATTTCATTTTCTACAATAATTACCTATACCGTTCCACTTTATTCTTGCATTTCTTTCTTTCTTTTTTCTTTTTTTATCTTTCAATTTTTTTTTATCAATAATTTGTTTTTTGGTCTAAAATTACACCAACAAGTGCAGCAGAGGTTTAATTGCAATCGTAACAACAGTTGCAATTTCACCACAATTCTAAATCCTGCAAAATAAAAATGTAGGCAAATGCTGAAAATTCGGCTGCAACTGCGGTTGCCAACTGTTTTTTATTTAAACCAAAAATAATTATGTAACACCAGAACAGTAACCTGGCAAATAAAACCCCAACAGAACACAATACAAGCTTTGTTGTGCCGTGGAATTAGGGTTCTGAGGTAACCATGATCCATCAGAATAAGTGCTGCGTCGGGGATCCATGATGTAAAAACAATTGATTAATGATAATCGTGAATTGAATTAAAAGTAATTAGAATCGAAAAAAAGGAAGAAGATAGCGTACCAGAACTTGAACTCGGGGAGGCGGCGAACGAAGGGACGAAACTCGTCGTTAGCGGAGGTGGGGAGGCTGGGGCCCTCAGCGTCTAGAATCTCGGGATCCACCTGAGGGGAGAGGAACCCGATCAGAAGGTTGAGGATGTATATTCCCAAGCCGTACGACACTAAGTAGAACCCTTCCACGAAGTACACACGCAGCGCGTACACCAGGGCCACCACCAATAACCCCACCCACCGCCGTCCCACGTGCGGCGTCCACTTGTCCAGCACATGCTGGTACTGCCGCCACACCGCCAACTCCCACCGCGATATGGCGGCTCTAATTGATCCTCCGCCCACGTCCATCGCCGGATGGGACCCGTTCCGCTTTCAGTTTCGGGTGCGGAATCGAGGTTCAATTCAACAATTTGTCGCTTGAACTCTCTTCTCTTGGTCTTCTTCTTCTTCAATTCACAATTTGCGTTTTCACTTTAAATTCATCTTATAGAAAAAGGAAAAAAAAACTCTTTTAGGGATAGCATGTAATTTTGATTTAGCTACCTGTAATACTAATAGGCTGCAAAGTTATCCTTTTCAATATTATATTGGTTTATTTAAAATTTGAATTCAAAATTATTGATTATCATTACTATAAATCTATTTAAGTTTATTCACATATTTGATACTTTTTTATTGTAATTTTAGTCATTATATTTTAGTCTATGCATAAAATATTAAAAAAAAGGACAATATACTAAACATGGCTATATTTTTATTTAAATGTTTTATCAAATCTATTATTTATTGTATAAATTTATGTCATCATACTTTTATTAGATTTTCATTCATTATTAAACAAAAAACTACTATAACTAGAAGATGGATAACTAATTTTTTTAATTATACTATTAAAAATTCAGTTTTACATTATCTTGTGGATAAAAATATTTATTTTTGTATTCTCTACGTTTAATTTGAAACGAAGGTTTAGTTTTATTAAAAAGAAATTACAAAGACAAATTGCCAAAAGTAAAAGTTAAAGAAATAAGATCAGGGAACATAAATTATAGACTAAACAATTATTAAACATATAATCATATCATTTGCTATATACTAAGAGAATTATATTCTGGACCAACTTACAACATAAAAATTTAACAATGACTCTACCAAGTGTAAATGGACTGAGTAGATATTGATAATATGAATAAAAATAGTAAACTATGCATTTAGTCTTAAAAATGTTATTCTATTTTTTATTTAATTCTTTAAATAATTTTTTCATTAAAGAAATTTTATGCATAATAATAAATTGTTTAACTATTTTTATAATTATTTAATTAAATAATTTTCAAAAATAAACAAAACAAGATAAATAAGAAAATAAAATAAAAGATAGAAATAGTTTTTTAAAATTTATTAAAAAATATGTTTTAAAATAAATCAATAATAAATTATTTGTAAATGTCACGTAATAAATCTATATTTTTAATTTAAAAAAAAACATATAAATTACTTACATTGAATATTACATTGAAATTATACATATGACAGTTGTCATTTTCATGTAATTTTACCCAAATTTTCTAATTCTAATTTTTTCATACAATTCTAGTATAAGTTTTAGTTATATATACATTAAATTCAACAACAAATCTCTTACTGTAGTTGTTTTGTTACTCCAAATTTTCAGTCATTTCACTGCAAATTTTATGGTGTTAACCATCATTAAAAATCTTGTAAAAGGAAAAAGGTTGCCGTGTCATTAATAGCATTTTTAAGAGAATATTGTGTAAAAGAAAAATATATGGTCCTAATGCCATTAGATAAATTCAGCTTTTAAACACTTAGTATATGAATTATATACCCCTTCTACATTTCAATTAATATTTTTCTAACAAAGATATTGACATAGATTATTCATTATCACTCAGATGTGATATGAACTACATAATTAAGAAACAGAAATAACAATAGAACGTGTACCAAGCAATATCAAGGTGAGTGAAAAAATAGTCCTTTCGTGCATGAATTGTTAAAATCTATTGAATTTCTCATCAATGATGAGACTTATACCTATTTTCTAATTATGGATTACACACATTAAATAGGTCATATACACCTTCACACCAATACCTTTTGATAACTAGTAATGACATATTAACAATATGTTGCATGGAGATAACTACCTTTAAGAATATAATAATAATTATTATCAACTTGAGGCATATTATATACTTAATTATCAGATCTTCATTTTACAGCCCCCAACACCTTTAAAGAGTAGTTCTTGAAAAGCAAGAGTAAAAACATCATGCAAAATAAAATATAATTTATAACTTGCAGAGCCGAAACAGCGTCCCAAATCAAAAGCTACAAGTACAAATTCATGAATATGAAATAAGTTCCTACACTCACGTGAAGGAATGTCAACAGAACAAATACAATTGCAGTAAAATGTTAGCTATAAAATAAAAAACATTCATCGGTCCATTTGCTCATCCTTCGGGGGCAAAATTTTAATTCCAAGTTTTGGAACCACAGCAATTAGCACGAGAACTATGTTGAATGTATCAAAACTGCAGGTTCACCTGAGGGTTATAAGAAATTACAATAAATTTATAAGGACCTGGCTTAGGAGCTTTCCCTTGCATTTTCATTTCATCAAACAATCCATCATTTCATCTCCTGGCTACATTTTTAACTTCTTTCGCTTATCTAAGGAGGATATCATTTTATTCAGCAAGGATATTTCAAAATCTTTTTGTGTAAGCTGTTTCCTCAATGATTCAATCTCCAATTCACTTTGCTTTAATCGTTGATTCAGTGCTTCAATCTCATATAAATGCTTTAATCGTTGATTCAGTGCTTCAATCTCTTTTAAATGGGAATCACTGTCACACTTGTTAAGGCCTGCTGGCGCATCCTCTTCAATTTTTTTATCTATCTTTGGTTTCTTTGAAACATCAACCGCCTCATCCGTTTGTAAAGCCCTCTTAGTAGATTGAGTCCGGTCCTTGGATTCATCAGTTACCATTTTCCGAACAAATAGAGTGACAAACCAGCCAGTACTTTGACGAAATTTTACAAATTTCTGTGGACGTCCATATGTATCCTAACATAAAGTAATATACATCATTAGTATGAGATAGATCACCAATCCCACAGAACAAATAAATATGCGTAAGTGATATACAACTTTAATTATTAGTTTATCAACAGAAGACTTGTCCAAAAAATATATCCTCCCTTTGTTGAACAAACATGGAAAAAAAAGTTATCGAGTCCATCCCATTTTGGCAAGATAATCAAATACATGTCTAGCTTTAAAACATTTCTGTTGGACAAATGGGTTCAGGTATTATTGTGGGGAGTGGAATCCACATTTATGCATTTCATTGGGTCAGCTAATCAACAAACAATTTAGTGATATCAAGTAGGACATTGCACACCGGTATATATCATAAATGTACCTTTGATTCGCTTCCTTCGACATTTTCATAGGCATCATCCGCCTCTTGTGGACTTTTAAAAACAGCTAAGGCAGAATAATGTCTTCCTTGAGCTTTCTTGGAAGCCTGCAACAGAAGCATCAGAACTCAAACACAAAATTTAAACCAGTAGCAGACTCCTCCCAACAAGAGTACCATGAAACAAACCTAATTGTTTTTAAATTGAATTAAATAACTACAAATGAAACTCAATCAGAATATTGAGATTGTCATAGGACACACTACCTGCAGTTCTGTTTTGAATTCTCCAGGAACAATTTCATGCAGTGTTTCAATGTTTAAAACGTTTGGTATCTTGTGAATAAAAAGCTTTGCCATATCAATTTTTGCATCCTAAAACAATATAACAGCAAAAGTATAGAACTTTAGTCACCAATCACCATGAGTAGACTACAGTGTAATACAGGACACGTATATGTCATATTACATGCTCTTGAACCAATGAAATTGGAAATTCCTTATCAACACCATGTTTGATCTTTGCAAGAACGAGGTTCATAGCTGCACGTGCATCATCTAGACATATATGTGTAGCACCTTTTTCTCGAACTTCACAACCCAACACAGCCTGTCACAACAATTGGTGTTAAACTATAAATCAAAGATCAATATTTATCAATTCTGTGTTTATTCTTCTATGTTACTATAATTTTCTTGTGCAAGGCTAGACGGGGAAATATCTTAAATTCCAAGACATAAAACAAGCACAAGTGCAGAAGAAGAGACTTTACACTCAAAACAACATGATTCCTCCAAAGGAGTGGTTAGGTGATAATTCTTATAATAAAACTTCATAAATTAGATGTCATGCAATGGAGAACCTTTATTTTTGCACATAAAAAATTTGCCACTTTAGTACCTGACATAAACTATTCAAAGAAGGCCTCCTGTTAGATCCATCCAAGGATTGGAAGATATAGGAAGTGTCAATGACTCTGACATAATCAAGCTTCAGCACTGCAAACAACTGACATTAGTGAATAAAAAAATACAAACAAAAAATAATTCAACAAATTTAATCCCTCCATATACTAAAAAAACCTTACAGTAGGTTTAAAGACACAGCAAAGTAAACTAAACGTTTATCAAACTTACCACGGAGATCATTATGCAAACTGTGTCCCACTAATATGGTTCCATTTGATAACAACTTCTTCATGGATTTCTACGGAAGTACAACACATATCTTCATTATGCACATAAATGGATGATACAGAAAAACAACAAAGAAAACTACAAAATACCTGCACATCAGCCAAAGAGCAAGTCACTCCCTCTAGATCTTGAGAAGTGATACCAGTGATCTCTGTTCTGTAGTCTACAATTTTTACGTCAGGCTTTACAAATTCATCTAGTTTGACCTGAAAAGTTCTGAAAATTATCTATCTACAGCCCCATAAGGGAGGATGATTTTAAACATAATTACGTGAAACCCTCTTTGGGGAGGGTATGCAATAGGAAGAGTGTGCATAAATTACCTCTAAATTATGGTCTACCGCACAGACTTTAACTACTGCATCAGTCCCATCTTCACAAAGAACCATTTCACAATCTAAAGCAACCATTGAAGTAGACTTCATCACCTTGGATTTGTTTTTAAGGTTTACAATCAACCACCCCTTCAAATCCACACCAAAAGCAACGTAGAGGATATATCAGAATAACTATTGACCCTTAAAATTCAAGAACAGATGATGGCAACAAACCTCATCAATTAACGGAAATGAATAATCTAATGGATATAATGGATGCTGCAGAGTTACTTGAACTAGCCTCTGTGCTGCCAACATCACACGGTTAGAAAATTTATAGTAAAATTATTGATAAATTCACATGTCAATGAAATTAACATTACTTAAGATTTCCACTAATTGACTTGAAAACCATGTGCATTCTCATTATCAATAACATAACAAGTAAGAAGAAAAATAATAATTAACAGCAAAAAGTAATATCTGAATATTCGTCTTTGCTGAATTATAGAGATTATGCATCATCCATTATTGGTTGCAGACTCCAAATTTAGGCTTTAGTTTTACATTCAGATTTGGTTGCAGCAACAAGAAATATTCAACTTGGGAGCCAACTTTAAATTGGCATGACGAATTAAATAACATAAAACAGGAAAACAATAATTCATAAAATTAAAGTTTAGAAATATGTAAATAGTAATTTAAAAAATAAGGCATAAGGTACACATAAATAGTAATTATAACCTAGGTTGTCAGAATCAAACCGATTACTGAATCAGTAAAACAAACAAAAAAATGAGTTTAAGGTTCAAAGATTTTATTGGGATTGATCCAAGGTCAAGCTGGTTTTAAAAAAATGTTATATTTTAATTTTTTAATATTAATAATATAATGTACAAAATAGTATTAATAAAAACAAAGGTACATATATATATTAAAAAAAAAAAAAAAAAAACAACCAGTTCCTTCAGTGTTTTCTGACTTATGAATGGTTTGACAGATTTTTTTCCCCTTTCAAATTAATCCAGTTTTTAGGAAGATTTGGACCAGACATTGGTCCATTTCCGCCTGGTTGACCTAAGTGGCCCTGTTTTGATTAGAACATTCTCAGATGAAACCGAATAAAAATGTTGAAACACATGCTGCCAATATGATGTTTATGGGAAGGAAACTTCAGCGAAAACTTACAAAATGAAGAATACCTGCTCGGGAGACTCATAGGATTTATCTTTCAGTTGCTCCAACATGTATTGGTTTGCATGATGCCGCATGATATTATCAAAAAACTGAACACAAAGGATAAACAAATGAGACTCGTGCGTATGTGTGCATAGTGGGCACTATAAGTTATTTACCTTTAAATCTTCCTCCTCCGAAAATGACTTTAGAAATGCAGTCAATATCTCATGGGATCGCTTTGATGGATCACTCAAATTAGCCCCAAACTTTTTATCATGATTGTCCAAGAATTCTTTCCAACCTCCCAATTTACCCCTCAGGCCTCTTTTTTGTGCCAATCTTACAATATCAACCAGCACCTATCATATGGAAGCACTCGTTATTTTGAAGGGGACAGAAGAAAAAGAAAGGGGAAACAAAATACTAGCAAACACTCACAATATTTCATCATCTGGCACCTAAATCCTAAACCTAAGTCAAGAATTCATCAATCGGCACATAAACCCTAAACCTAAGTCAAGATTTCATCAACCGACACCTAAACCCTAACAGCCGCTAATTCAACTGTAAATATTTTTGGTGAGAGTCTAAAACTAATCTCTAGTTATATGAACTAATTCACTAAGTTCAAAGCAAAAATTTAGTATTGACTTATTAAAAGTACGACAAAATATTTTAGTTAAAAAAAAAAATATACGATTCCCAAATCCCATTCTCATTTATCGCACATGTTGAAAACCTAATACCAGAAAATCATCTTTCTTCAAGACACATTCATGTCAAAATATTCAATCTAGTATCCTATATTCAATTGATTCGACAGCATTACATAGAAAATTATTAAACATACGATGAACGTGTGTTTTGTTGAACGGTGTTGGAATTCACAAAGAAAAAGAAACATACTTGAAGGGTTGACAAGGAAGTTTACCTTCTTATCAGCCGTCTCTATCTTGTCTTCCATGCTGGTTGCTACGAAGATGTGGCGAACTCTTTGCAATACCGCTTCCAAATATATATGTATATACTGCGCTTCTGCTTCTGGGTTCTATATACTGATTCTGCAAGCCTAGGTTACAATTGGTTATAAAATAATATATATATATATATATATATATATATATATATTATTTTTTAAAATAGATTAAAATAGATAAATTGTAGTTAACCTATCTGAAGTTCAAAATGCTCAAAAATTCATATTTGAACTAATGAAAAATAGGTAAAAATGATTTATTTAGTTTCAAGAGAGTTTTTAAATATTAATAAATAAAAATAATTTTTTATCTTTTATATTTTAAATTATTTGCAGATGTGTATACTGACTAGATTACATTTCGGAACTGTACTTTATTACACAGTAACTCATCTAAAAATAAATACGAACAAGAAAAAAAAAAAAAAAACAACTTTCACGAACTTCACTCTAGTTTATGTGAATTAAGGTACTAACTTGAAACTGTTATATATTTATAGGACAAATATCATTCTACCTAAAGATATATAAACATAATTGACGATTATAGTCTTGATCGAAAAAATAAATATACTACTGAAAAATTATAAACATGGTAAGGAACATTTGACAGGCTTGACCTAATACTAAATATTTGATGAGTCCATGATTGGGCTTGGATTGCTTAACATGGGCCTCTTGTGTTACGTCTCAAGGAATATACGTTTTTTTTTTTTTCTGCTGTTGCTTCTTGTACCCCATAATTTTTTACTGTATCTCCGTAATTAAATTAAACTCATTTTATCCTTATATTTATATTCATCTTCCATTAGTATTTATTTCTGATTTTGTTGAATGGCTGATTTTTAAGCCCAACTACAATATTTTCATTTTTATTCTCTCCTGTTCTTCCAAAAATTACAAAAAATAGGTAAGAATGTCTAACTTTTTTCTTTTTTTATCAAATTTTTACATGTACATTATCCATGAAACAAATTTTTTGGCTGGAAACACATAGCATAGAATAAGAAAACAGGAAATTTTTTTAAAAAACATAACACATTTTCTGGAATATATTTTTAAAATTGATTTTATAAAAATACATTTTGAAAAGTTTACCGTGAAATACATTTCCAAAATACATTTCGGAGTCACCAATTTGAAATATATTTATGAAAAAATTAATTTTGAAAATATATTTTAGAACGCATTTTTTAAAATGTATTTCGTGGATTAATTTTTTGGAAATGCATTCCAGAATATATTTTCTGAATTAATTTTTTAGAAATACGTTTCGGATTCATTTTTCTATAATTAATTTCTAGAAATATATCTCATCCTCCGGAATAGGTGTTTTAGTATATGATTTTGGAAAAGTCACTTCGATGATATATTTTAAATTTTATGTTCAGAAATTCAATCTTATTTTCGTACTACTGTTTCAAATTGAGTAATTTTAAACTATTTGTACCATTTTTAGTGTATGAACGTGTAATTCATATATAATACTAATAATTATTTATCTTTAATTATAAAAAAAGGTCTTTAATGACAGTAATAATATAAAAAAATTAAATAGTCAAAAAATAAAAGCACTGAAGGATAGAGGTGCAGTGAACAAAAAAAAGATTTTAAATATTTGACTAAATATTTGACTTAAGAATTATGGGGTGAAGCAACAACCATTTTTATTTTTGTCGTGAAGAAAAAGTGTATCGATGGTCATGTTTTCTCCATTGTAAAACTTTGAATGAGGGTGATTAAGTAAGTTGGTTAAGGAGCCAAAAAGATAAATAAAAAGCAACGATGGATGAGGTTCGAATAGATGGGCGAAGTTGGAGAACCAATTATTATTCTGCTTATGATTGCTCGAATTTAACCAATGATAAATTTAAACTTTAATATATGATTTTCTTAACTACTGGAATAACAAGTTTGTGTGTGTGTATATATATATATAATAGTCTTATTCAAATTCCAGAAAATTGATATTACTATAACAACAGGTTACGTGTGTAAATGCTATTGGGTGCATATGAAATTAAAAAAAAAAAAGTATTGTTTTCTTGATTCGGGAAGGGTGAAAAAAGGAGTGTGGGTGTCCACTTGGAAGTGAAGGCAATGATATGTGAAAGATGCATGGGGTGGCCTAGTCAACTTCATTTGTGTTTGGTTTTTGGGCTTTCCATTAAGTCAAAGGTATGATTGAGAGCACTTTGAAGGGGTTTAGAATTAACATAATGTGGCTTAGGTGGAAGGCAAAAGGGTGCATCCTTAGCGGTGGTTATGTGGTGAGTGTTTTATTGTTAGTGCAATGTCTACGAGCAGCTATTGCGACAACACGTTCCCAGTGGGAGAAAAATAATGGCCACTTATTGCTCTTTGATTTAGATCCTGCAGCAACAGAAGTGGTACGTGGAGCTTTTGCTTTGGCATGCCTAATCATCCATTTCACGTTATCCTTTCCACTCTACCCACACATCATAACTTGGTCAAGATCTTCTCTCTTTCTATTCATATCTCATCCAATTTCATTTCTTACCCACCATTATATTTCCCCTGCAATACCTTTCATCTCTACCTTTTCACTTTCTAAAGTCTCTTCCACCCACACAATGTATATGTAATCTCCTTAAAAGGGACCCTCACAAAGCTTATACACATTATCTTTCTTTATTTTTTTCAAATTGCTTATTAAACAGAAAATTATAATGTTATTGACTAATAAATTAAATAGTAATTTAAGTACAATAACTTTAAGTAACCTAACTTAAAGTTAAAACATGTTACAAATTGTTGAAAACTTGTAAAGTTTATAAATATAAAAATAAGATATGATATGGTAAAATTTCTAAATATCACGTATTTATAAAAAATAAAAATATAATAAAATATTAAATATTAACAATATTTTTATCTTAATTATTAATTATCTATATCAACATAATAAGGTAAATATATTTTTTTATTTTAAATCATAATAATAATTTAATATCTAATTTAAATAAAATGATGATATATATAAACATTTTTAACAGAAATAAGTATTTATGTTTTATACTGATAGACTTTTTAATCTTTAATTTTAATAAAAGATTAGAAATCAAGATTAAAAATAGTTTACATATCTCTTCTTTTTTACATAATAATAATACTAATATTAATAAATTATATTTTTACATCATATTTTTTAAATTAGTCATTGAAATATAATTTTGATAAGATAATAAGTGATACTTATTTAAATATCATTAAACATGGTATTGGTTGGGGGTGGTGATGAGGTGAATTATTATATTATAATGAAGACACTAGTAGTAATAATATTAATATTAATATTAATGATAGTATAATAATAATAATAATAATAATAATAATAATAATAATAATAATAAATTATGGATAACTATATCTCTATAGAAACACAAAATTCATGAAAATTTTATATGAAATAATGTACAAGTAGCAAATATGAGATAAAGAATGTTGTATAATGTAACTATAGTAAACATGGTGAATTGTATTAAGAAACTCCTACGAGTTGAATTAAAAGAGATAAATGTAATGAAGAGTAGTAAAGACAAAGATGTAGGATTTGTAAAAATTAAAGAGACACAGAAGTTTGGAAATACGAATAGAAGGAGTGAGTGAATGAGTTTGATCAAACATTTAAATCAAGAAACACAAAGTTGTGATTTTTAAATACAGGGTACCCACTCTTATGAGATAAGATATGAGACTACTTTTCTAATAAAATAGAAAATAAAGGATAATACATCTTACAACAACACATGTTTTATTTACAAAACCAACTATCAAATTCTCGTCATTTATCTATAGAGTACAAATTATTAATAACTTGTGTCAATTTTATTATTATATTTGTTAGAAAAATTTTAAGCTATTAATAACTTATATGAATTTTATGAATAAATACATAGTTTTCAAATGGATATAAATAAATCAAAAGGGGAATTATTGAATAAAATTATATTAAGAATTTTTATAATATACATATATATATATATATATATATATTTTAATATAATAAAATATTAAATATTAAACATATTTTAAAATAATATATTAATTATAATTACTAAATCAAAGTAATAATATAATTATTTTTTTATTCTAAAAATAATAAAAATTTCTGAATATTTAATTTAAATAAAATAATATTTTTAATAAATTAGTTTATTTATCTTTAATATATTTTTTATAAATAAAAAATTAAATAGAATAAATGATGATATAAAAAATAATTAAAAATTTCCCATTATATATAATCTAAATTATTAAATACTGTTCATGTGGATTAATCTTATAATTTGTTAATATTTAATAGATATCAATAAAAAAATTACATATTAATAAGAGTAGGAGAACAAAGAACACACTCCTCTTAATGGTTGAAATAGATTGAAAAATATAAAATCTTAAAACAGACAATAATAAGAATACACTAGATGTGTGCAAAACATTTTATAGGATTTCTGTAAAAATAGACAAAAAAAATAGTATCTTGTTATTATATTCTTTAAAGATAATTACAGATGAAGAGATTGGAAACAACAACGTGTATTATTGAAGAGATAATTGAATATTATATAAATTGTTGTAATATTTTTAGATGAATAACATAACTCAAAATGTAAATCAGATTGGGAGAAAAAAAATACAGAACACTGAAAAAGACAGTAAATATAACATTGCAGATTTATGTACTACTGAATATCTGAGGCATTACGACTGGGGTTGGCCTAAAGGAAGAATAAGAACTTCAAAACATCCAAGCAAGAGTATCATTCCTGTAAAGTTTATTCAACCCATATTCATGTTTATTGTACTCCTGCTTTTTGTATTACATAAGAATTTCTTATGATTAAGCTACTATTAAAAGTATGTGTCTAAAAGAAGAAAATGTTCTGCATTAGTAACTTCAAACAATTTTTATTGCAAGTTTGTGTTTGAGATTAAAACTTTGAAAACATAAATTACATTACTTCAATCTCAATTTTAATATTTTGCAAAATATAAATGCTTCAAAGGACACACGTCATATTTTTGGTACTGAACCAGTGATTGAATTGGCCATAGACTCAACTTTGTGATCTTCAACTCCTTAGGGAGCAAGATGTACTGGTAGTTAGTTTATCACACCTTCATAGTTTTCTATAGACTATATGTGAAGTGATTCATCTCAATATTTGATTACCTTACTTGCTTAACTTTAACTGAGTTCGAAACTTTCATCTATATAAATTCTCAAATTGCTCAGACTTTAGTGCCAAATCTGACCTATAGGATTGTCTTGAAAAGGGCAATTTTTCCATACTGAGATTGATTATTTTTACTGTTTAATATGCCATTTGTTGAAAATTAAATGACCTTGACCCTATTAGTCTTTCTCTCTTTGTAGGGAAATATAAATGGTCCATAATCTCAAATTAACCTTTTTCTTTTTGCCTTCTTCTTCTTTAGAATGAGTCACGGGTTATGGTCCAAAAAAAGTTGTATGCCATAATCAGGAGGAAGAGGAAGGAGGGACATGACAACAACTTCTCAAGGTCAATTTTATATGCAAATTGCTGTGGAAGAATTAGCATTGAGGTCAATTTCTGAAGGCTATAAATAGAATACAAGTGTACAGGCTATTAGATCTAAGCGAGGTGTATTAACACTAAAATAGTACTATGGCACATCATTTGATGATCTCTTAAATTAAGATTAGTTGACTTCTAATTAGGTTATTGCAGACACAACCTGTATTTTTGTTTCTCAGTGCTTGTTTTTAGCAAATTGGGCCATGAATTTTAACATTGATTTACTAAAGTGACACAGTTTTTTAACCAAGTTTAAAAAATAAAATAAAAAATATTAAACTTACCACACTGTTCACAACCAGAGGGAACTATATTCTCATCTTTATTTCAAAGTTTGGTTTTGCTGGATTACACTGCTTAGTGTTTTCTCTCTTTGTGTGTGCCTCGCAGCTTGAGCCATGAAAGTGCAGAAAGAAAAGAGAAAAGCAGTTGGTAGAAGAAATATAGGAGCCTCACATTTAAGAAAGAAGAAAGGAAAGGTGAAAAATAAAATCCACACAGATCGCTTCTCTAGGCAAAGAAATGCAAGTTTTATCTCTTTCTTGCTGGCAATTCAGACCCTTTATCGTGCAACACTATCAAATAGTTAAAAAGAAGCACTGGATAATTATTCAAACAAGGATCGTTGTGCTTACCAAAAAAAAACAAGTGTTTTTGTCCCTTTTATTAAAAATTAAGCGAAAATGTTAATTGAAAAAGAAGGAGAGTTATACGATTATTATAATAATAAAATAACAAGGAGATGATTGGTGTAGGATTTGTAATACAACGGTAACAACCAATGGCTCTCATTTGTCATTTGTAGATATTTTTTCAAATCAGAGTTCAAACATGTCATAAAAAAATTGTTCTGATTCAACTTCTAAATTAATTTTATCATACTTTTCTGGCATAAATTGTGTTACTGTGAGCATCTCATCCACGTCCTACTCCATCGTAGTGGAGATATTTTCTTTTTGTTAACTAAAAAACAAAATTGTTATGGGGACATTTTAATTAAACATAAATCATATATGCATTGGTTATGTGTGTACGATCCTTAATCTCCCGAGTCTGAATGCAGAGTAGATATATGGCTCTGATTTATCACATAACGAGAACTCTTGGTCATAAACACTATCTATAAATACAGGGAAAAAAATTCTGTGTCTGTACTATCTGTGAGGCTTCCATGTTATGGCGCTGGCATGGCAGAGATAAGAACAGAGAGCATCCTCAGTAATAGATTATATTGATAAACCATTATGGCTACTTTTTGTTGGTTAATCAGCTTGCATAGTAAAAGTTGTTTAGTCACATAGAAGCCAATGAACTTTTTATATACAAGCAGGACAATGAATTGCATAGCTTTGTTCGCTACAACAACCTCATCTCGAAAAGAAAAATTTTGGAAACGAAGCGGTGGGAAAGGAGAAGAAAGTAACGAAACCAGTGGGGCTCTTACACAGTTATACATACATGAAATTTTATGCTAGGCACGTGGACTAATATATAGTGTGATGCTAACAATGGACATAATTAATTGCTCATATGACATAGGACACACTTGATTCATGTAAAACCAAAAAGGACAATGATGTGTCATTATGGTTGTGTGGCCGCTAGAGATAAACGATTGAAGTAATAGAGTTAAGCAAGTTATGCAACATAGCTGGTTTGATTATATTTTTCGGAGCTGAGATTAACCACACTGATTATTAATTGTGGCTAAGAACCAAGAACTAGGAATGAGTGAGATGCATGTGTAGTAGTAGGTAGGTGTAAGAATGATGTTGTGAGAGAGTGAGGTGGCGAAGGACATGAAAGTGGATTTGGATTGGAATTGTACAGGGAAGATGATTATTGCTGAGGTAATTTAACTTGCATCTACCAAAAGTAAAGAAGGGCAGCTATGGCCTTAATGGAAGAGAGGATGAAAGGGAAGAGGGAGTGGGAAGCATGCAGAGAGAGAGAGAGAGAGAGAGAGATGTTGTTGTGGTTGATTAAATTTAATGGGGGTTGCAAAGACACGTACGTAGTTGGTGGCATTAGTAATGCTGAGTATCGTGTTGCAGGGTGCGTATTTAATGGATGCTACAAGAATACAATCGTTGTTGGGTTAATGAGCGAAGCAAAGACAGGAATGGGAATGGGAGACAGAAAAGAAGACGTACAACGTATGTTCCTCGCAGACAAGACGGCAACAATTATGAAAAAGTAACGGAGAGAGATCAAAAAAAGAGAATGGGGGGTTTAAGACTCTTGTGGTTTCGATGCACGCCCTTTCCCTTTCTTTTCTGTCTTCTTCTTTTCTTTTTATCATATCCATTTTCCATACTCTTTCTGTCAGTTTTCCATTCTCACACACCCCCCTTCCATTTACCATGTTTCCTTGTTCATTCATCACTACGTTTTTTTTTTCTTAACTCCGCTTCACAAATATTCAGTTTTGGTTCTTATTTAGATTTTTTAATAACATTGACAATCTCACTTACTTTTTTATGCTAGATATTAATAATAGGTTCAATAAATAACTTTAATACCTGTTATAACTAATATATTAATAATAACTTTAATATAATTATTTTTTTAGAAATTAAAATTGTACAGCACCCAAAAAATGGTTTAAACATAAAAGGGCAACTGACGCAAGCGCGCCACAACATTTTATTTTAATTGAAAATTATAAAAAAAAAGTAATTCATAATAATAACGTGACAAGAAAGGATCTGTTTGACCAAGCACTAACTTTTTTATTGGTCCACGTTTTGTAGGTGTCAAGAAAAGTGGTGATACATGTGTTTATGGAAGACATTTTGAAAAAAGCAAAAATAAAATAAAATTATTTGAATGATTTTTACTTTGGAAACACTTATTTGATAGTTTAAGGGTAAAACCAAAATAAATAAATAAATAAATACCAATTAATTTAATATTTTTAGTATTTGCTCAGAAAGTATAAATGGGAATACTGCAAATTAAAAAATTGAACAAAATGTATATTTTATGTTTAACACATTGTGAAAGTAAAAATTTAAAATGTGTAACTGTTGTTGCTCTCTATAATAATCAATAATTTTCTCATCAAGATATAACTGTGTTGTTGCTCTTTATTTTTATTTTTTTCAGTAAATAGTGTGCAAAACTATATTTCCCATTTTTAAGTAGTAAGTAATGTTTTTATGTGTTTGAATTTCACATTAATATTTACATCCCTGCTCTCAGTTTATCCAAAAGGAACAATCAATATAATATATATCAATACCAATGAAATATAATTTAGAAAACTATGTTCCTTATTAAAATATTTATTATTTTTTTAGTCTTGTAAAATGCACTTAAAATATTGCTTTTTTTGAAATAAAGGTAATATAAAAGATGTATTAATAAATTTAAAGACTTTTTTCTTTTTACAAATATTTAAGATTGTAATATATATGCATGATCGTTTTAAAAAATAAAAAAAATGCTTATTATATGATAAAATGTTTAAAATAAAAACATTAGCTTGTGAATGCAAGATAAAATATAAACTACGATTTTACTTTAATATATTGATTTTGCAATTAACCCTTTCCACCAACATTATTTTATTATTTCCAATATTCAGATTGTGATATTTTTATTTTTCATGTATTTACTTGTCAATTCATAATCATTTTAAAAAAATACCAATTTGCTTCTTTAATATTTCTTTTACTTGTTTCGAGTTAAATTTGTAAGTAATAGAATTAGATGTATTTAGTAACAAAAATCTTATTTACTCTCTAAAACATCGGATTATTTTTTTAAATATTTCTTAGATAACAAATATTTTAATCTCATAAATTTAATAATTTTTGTTTTCAAAAACATTTTATCAAATTTCAGAGATTAAAATATATTTTATTTAAATAAAATGACTAAAATAAAAAATATATAAATTTAAAGGAAAAAACATGATTAAAAAAAGTATATAATATCTACATTATGGTAATAAATATGATATTACTAAACAAAATTTTGACTTCGAATCTTATAAATAATAAAAGAATTGAGCAACAAAAAGTGATTAATAAGTTCTATTATGAAAAATATATTTATACATATTATTTTACATTCATACTAAACTTAAAATTTAAAAATAATTAATCCTTAATTTTATTTATTTCATTTCATTTTTTATGGAATTAATCTCAACAATAATTAAGAAATGTAGATAAAATTAACCCATCACATTCAAATTCAATTAATAAATCGGATACATAAGTACACTTCAAATATATTTAATTTAAATTTTGAAATGAGAGTATAATAGAACGAATAAAATTTATTAGCATGATATAAGGCAAATGTTTTAATTGGAATGGTTTTGATGAGGCTATTTACAACCTATTCACATGCTAGGTTACATATATGAACATTTTGATCAAGTAATAAACCATGTTGAAAAGTACCAGTAGATGTGAACAAGAATGAACGGACGAAATTCTGAAGACAAACTATGTTGTTACATTACATCCCATATTTCAAATTCAAAATAGGAGGTGATATTTCTCTTGCCGTTACCCGCTGTTTTTCTGCGCGCGAAACAACAGGCTGTCTTGCTTGTCCTTCCATATAAATATTAAAATAACAGCATATGCGGAAGAAAATACCGAGAATAAAAGGAGAAAAAAAAAAAAAAAAAAGGGAAAGAAAAGGACAAGCGTGAAGTGCTTCTCAGATAAAACCTTTTGTTTGATTACTGCATTAGTCTCTCTCCCTCTCTCAGTAACTCCTTCAACTCGCTATAGTGAGAGAAACAAAGAAAGAAAGAAACACAAGCTGAGTTGAAAATGGCTCTGCACTCCTTCTCTTACTTAAAATGAAGAAATTGTTTCATTGAAGAGAATGGCTCTTGGTGACGATGCACAGCACCACTCTCCCTCGATCCTCGATACTCTTCTATGTGAAGAGCGTGACACCTTTGAAGAAGATTTCGATGGGAACGGTGGTGAGTGTGAAACCAACATCGATATTCCATCTGGGGGAAAGTCGCAATCTTTGCCTTTGGCTTTGCTTGAGAATGATCTGTTTTGGGAGGACGAAGAACTTGTGTCGTTAATCTCAAAAGAGGGAGAGACCCATCTGTGTTCTCTTAGTGCCATTGCTGATGGGCCCTTAGAAGGGTGTCGTCTCCAGGCTGTGAACTGGATTTCAAAAGTTTGTGGACATTATGGGTTCTCTGCTTTGACCACTGTTCTTGCCGTCAACTACTTTGATCGGTTCATCCCAAGATTGATGGTTCAGAGGGACAAGCCGTGGATGACGCAGCTCACTGCTGTTGCTTGTTTGTCCCTTGCTGCAAAGATTGAAGAGACCCATGTGCCGCTTCTTTTGGACCTTCAAGTATGCTTTGGCTTTAAGATGAACCCTAGGTGTTTGTTGATATGACTTGTTTTGTTTCTTATGCACTTGCATTTCTTTGGTGTATGTGTGTTTTAGGTGGAGGAATCGAAGTATGTGTTTGAGGCAAAGACTATTCAGAGAATGGAGCTTCTGGTGTTGTCAACCCTTAAATGGAGGATGCATCCTGTGACTCCTATTTCTTTCTTTGAACACATTGTCAGAAGGCTTGGTTTGAAGAGTCGCTTGCATTGGGAGTTTCTATGGCGTTGTGAGCGGGTTCTTCTCAATTTGACTGTGGGTACGTAACAAAAATTTATGGTATTGATTTAAATGCTTATGAATGAAACACTCACGTTCATGTTAAGCCAATCCAATCGGAATCATGCCATTAAGATTGCTGATATCTGTGTGTGGAATGTCATGATTGCTGTCAGATTCAAGGGCTATGAGTTATCTTCCTTCTACATTGGCTGCTGCTACCATGATCCATGTTATTAAAGAGATTGAATCATTTAACGCTACCAAGTACATTGACCAGCTTCTGGGTTTACTAAAGATTAACGAGGTTTGTCTCTTTAACTTCATTGGTTCTGTGTCTGCCTTCTTCTTGTTTGTTAAATTGTTGAATTTTTTATTCATTTGGTGAGTAATTGGAAAATATTGGTGCCACCTTACAGGAACAAGTGAACCAGTGCTACAAGCTCATGCAGAAACTATTAGGTGGCAATGAAGGCATTTACAGCCTTCACCAAAAACGCAAGTATCTGTCTGTACCAAGTAGCCCAGGTGGTATTCTTGATTCATCTTTCAGTTGTGAAAGCTCAAATGGTTCATGGGCGTTGTCATCATCAGTCTCTCTCTCACTGGAGCCGCAGTTTAAGAGAAGAGCTCAGGACCAGCAAATGCGATTGCCTTCTGTCAGTCGTGTGTCAATTGATGTTCTTAATAGCCCTCGTTAATAATGATCTCAGTATTTACTTCCAATGTGGTAGCTTTCTTTCACATAAATCTGGCAGTTATGTTGTCCAAATGCAACTAAATTATGTTCTTAGTTATAGACATTTCTAGCCAATTTGGAAAATTAATGAGGCAGAGACTGAGATTTCCTCCTCCACTTTGTCGTTTGAGGTGGATAAGGTATCTGATACAGAGTAGAAAAACAAGTTTTAAACTTGTAGTTCTACCTGTGAGTTATATTATATTTTCATTGCAGTGTTTACTCATCTTACGCATGAAGTTTGTCCAATAGCACAATCAAGAGATTTCCTTTGCTTATTATTATCTGCCAGTCTCCCGATCTATCCCCTGTTTATGCAGATTAAGAACTGCATACGGAGATTGCTAACTGTTAATCAAACATGTGTGAAATGTCTTCACTGATGGATTAGATTTATCAATAAATCTCTTGTACAATATCAAACCAATCCAATAAGAAATATGTTACCCCAGTAGGTTTAGGAGATGCTCGTGAATTCTTTTACCAATGCATATATTTCTGTTACTCACCCAGAGGGGGGACAAGGTACTCTCACACAGATATGGAACCCCATCTTTCCGAAAACAGACATATTTGCTTTTCTGGCAATCCCAATCCGTTGTGTCTAATGCAAGTCTGGCCATTTTTTTGTCATTAGATATTAGCATCTTTTTCCGTTATATGAGTGAATTGAAGAACTCAACAGTAATTTTAGTTGCAAGATTTGGGTGGCCTGCTTATTTTCTTAATATTGAGCTGTAAAAGCGGTGTAGTTATCATAATTGGCTTTGTCGAGTCACCTAATTCCTTACTATTTTTATCTCAACATTCATTCAAAAAACTATTTCCAATATTTTAGTTATCTGAGCTCTGCGTTCTAGCCTGTGTAGATACAACCCTGCATTTGATGATACTCGCGGAGAAAAAAATTGTAGGTTGAAGTTGTTGTATTTATATAATTTATTATATATATATATATATATAAATTATTATTCTCTATTTGTTATGGATTAACATTAATCAATAAATTAATTTATTTGTAATTATCAATTATATTACACATCATCATTTATGTAAATAATAATTTAATTTGGGTTTCGATGAACGGTCCGTGATGGGTTGGATCGTTCGTAATCAGCTACTTATTGAGAGATCCTGGTCTCTGCGATAGGTGGATAAAACCGATACCCCATTAGTCAGCTTTAACGTGTGACAATATAATCACTTTAGATACTACGTTCAAAGCACCCTATCGAAAGAGAGCAACATTCTCTCATAAGCATTCAATGGATTCTTCAACAATTCCAGGTACACAATTTTGAATATATTATATTTATTGTATCTAATATTATTATGTATTTTAAACAATTGGTATCGGAGCCAAAAGATACGTAATATAATTGTTCATTATTTTTGTAGAGTGTATCATAAATTTTAATAATTATTCATTATCGGAAAGCATGAAAATTTAATTTTCTCGTTTGAGTTCAAATTAATTGAATAAGGGGCTGAATTTCAAAATTCTTTCCTGGAGCAGAGAACTCTAATTATAAAAAATTAAAGTTTTTTGTTCTGCTTTTACCCCTAAATCAGTAATCGGAGGTTGAACCCTAAATTTGCAATCAATTTTTTTTTGAACCCTAAATCTGCAATCAAAGGTTTTACCCTAAATCTACCATCCTTTTAACATGTTTTGAATCAAACCTTTATATTATCAATCTCTCGTAACAATGATGGGCAAAACAATTTAGATTTTTTTGAACCTCTTCTTCCCGCGTCTTCATTCTCTCGTTTTCCGGTTTCACCGGTATGGTGGCGGCGACGGTGGTTTACGCACCGCGCGTCTTTGTCCTTCGTCGTGGCTGCGCCTCCGTTTTCCGGCTTTCACCGCATGGTGGCGGCGACAGCGGCCTACGCACCGGCGTGGTGGTCTCGCGACGATGGGTATCTCGCGTCGTCGTCTTCCTCGCCGCACCTCCCGTCGCACCTCCCGTGTGCGCGTCCTCGCCGACGAGAACCAGTGGCCCGCGAACTCGACGTTTTTTGTTGTCTTGGAGGCGCATCCGGTTCTCGGGCCGGTGGTGGGCCGTTTGTTCATGGTGGATCTATGTTTCGTGTCACCGGTTAACAGCGGCGATGTCGTAGACGGTGCACGTTTTCAGTGACTAAGCGGTGCACGTTTTCACTATGTTCGTACATGTGCTACTCCAGCTTCATGGACGTGGCTTTGCACGTTGTGGGCGTGGGCGTGTCAAGTTCCAAGTGGCTTGGCTTTGCACGTTGTGGGCATAGTACGAACTGGCGTGGAAGAGAATTCAACATTAAATTCCACTAACATATTATTTTGTTTTATAAAATTATATATATAATAATAAGAAAAGATGAATTTGAAAACAAATAATATTATTATGTTTTTCTTAAATTTTTTTTATGAAGGAAACTGGATCAAGAGATTTTGTGAATGAGCTTGTTGGCTGAAAAAAGTTCCCCGGCCTAATCCGTAAAATTAAGGACCCTTATTATTATTATTAATTCATGCATCATATAATTTTTTGTTAAGCATAATATAATTTTATATGATTGTAAACTCACCTATCGTGGGTATAGTTGTATAAAATTTTGTGAACATAAAATAATTTAATTATTTTATTTAATTTATATTACATTAATATTAATTATACCCTATCGGTATTTTATTGTTAATGTATTTTTTTTAATGTAATTCTAAATTTTATTATGTCAATTATTTGTCTTGTACCCTATCCGGTATTAGATTTCTTGTGACATGAGATATGCATTGTATTCTTATTTTTATTTTAATTATATTTCTTATTTATTATGACTCTGGACCCTTAGGCTGGGTCATAGTGAATGAGAAATTTGATATTATAGGCATGTTTTGTTGTGTATTCGAAACATTTATTTTGTTTATTTGCACAATAATTGTGCGTATTAAATGTTTCTTTGTTATTTTGATACCAGACTTCTTTGCCTATGCAATTGACTTCGGTCAAAACTTTAAATGGGACAAATTTTGAGGATTGGAAAGAATCTCTGGATTTGTATTTGGCAATTACTAATATGGATCTTTGTTTGAGAGAGAACGAGCCTCCAACTCTTACTCCCGAGTCCACTACCGTCCAAAGAGCTTATCGTGAGAAATGGGAACACTCAAATAGGGTGTGTTTGATGGTGATGAAATACACCATGGAGAAGTCTATTCGACAAAGCATTCCGGATGATGATAATGCTAAGGTTTTTCCGAGATCGATGGGTGAGAAGTTTAAGACTTTTGACAAAGCTCAAAAGGGTCAATATCTCGTCACTTCTTGAGAAGACCAAATATGATGGTGTCAGTGGTGTTCGTCAAGCATATGATGAAGCTTGTGCACTATTATAATAAACTCAAATCTTTAAAGGTGGAGCTTGGTGACAGCTTTTTGATTTGGCAGGTTATGGAATCACTTCCTTCTCGCTTGATGTGTTGAAGACGTCTTACAACGCTCGAAGGAGGAATGGACAATTGACGAGATGATAGCTATTATTTCCCAAGAGGAAGAATCTATTAAAAAATCCAAGCCGCATAGTGTGCAATTCACAGCTATTACTTCGTGTACTAAACCCGTTAAAAAGGGTTTCAAAGGAAAATCTCGCCATGAAAAGAGGAACACAGTGGAAAGCATCAGTAGGTTTGGAGCCTAAGAAGAAGTACTTTAAGGGGAATTGTGCCTATTGTAAGAAATTTGGGCATAAGCTAACCGATTGTTATATTCTTAAGAAAAAGAATGCCGATAAGGAAGGTAAACACATGTATGTTCTAGCTTGTTTTGAATCTAATGTTGTTGATGTTCCTCCAAATTCTTGGTGGTTTGACTCGGGTGCTACTATTCATGTTGTGAATTCTTTACAGGGGTTCACAAGCCCGAGAAAACCAAGTGACCTTGAATCCAAGATTATAATGGGAGATGGAGCTAGAGCACAAGTTGAAGACATAGGAGTAGTGTCTTTAAATTTACCTTCTGGACATGTTTTGTTATTGAAAGACGTTGTTTATGTACCTTCTATGCGAAGGAATTTAATTTCAGCTTCAGCTTTGGATAAATGTGGCTACACTTTTGAATTTGGCAATGGCAAACTTGCTATTTATTTCAATTCGATTATTGTTGGCTTAGGAGTTTTATGTGATGGGCTTTACATGTTAAATCGGAATGACATGTTAGTTAATTCTATTGTTGGACATAAGCGTAGTAGAGTTGATGAAAATTCCTCTATATTGTGGCATAGACGTCTGGGGCATATTTCTAGATCTCGAATTGAGAGGTTGATTAAAGAGGGTATTCCGCATGATCTGAATTTTTCTGATTTTGATACTTGTATTGATTGCATTAAGGGCAAGCTTACTCGCAAAAGTAAGAAATGCAGGTGCAAACAGGTGTGATGATGTGTTGCAACTTATTCATACTCGATATGTGTGGACCTATGACACCCATTTCCATGGGTGGATACAGGTATTTTATCACGTTTATAGACGATTATTCCAGCATTTGGATGGATAGATCTCCTACAAGAAAAGTCAAGTTCCTTGGATGCTTTTAAGTCCTTCAAAGCCGCTATTGAGTTGAAAACTCGGAAAGAAGATAAAATGTGTAAGGTCCGACGAGAGGTGGAGAGTATTATGGCAGATATGATGAGACCGGAAGAAATCCAGGACCTTTCGCTAGATTTCTTAATGAATGTGGTATTGAAGCTCAGTATACTATGCCCGGTACTCCTCAAGAAATGGTGTTGCGTAAAGGAGAAATCGCACTCTTCTAGATATGGTGAGATGTATGTTGAGTCATTCCTCTTTACCGAATTTCCTTTGGGGAGACGCTTTAAGGACTCGTCGTGTATATTCTTAATCAAGTACCTAGCAAGTCTGTTTCAAAGACTCCTTATGAGCTTATGACTGGGAAGAAGCCAAGTTTAAGACACTTTCATGTG